CACCTTTTGGTTGACATACAGGCGCTGTATCATCCCCCTCCTTCATTCTCTATGTGTAACTCCCGTAGAAACGATAGCCGGTTCGATTTTTAGACATACGCACACTCTATCGACCTCATGAGAGACCTTTAAACATATTTCTTCCTTTTCAAAATGACTATTGCATGTGAAAAATGTAAGACGCGATGGCGTGAGTCGTGAGCTCGCAATGCTCTGCTCTAGTTTAAAGCAACATTACAAATAAGACGAACGGAAACAAACCCAACATGGAAATAGAGCGATGGAAAGGATGCGCGTCAACGACGGCGCAGAGATACAACTATTCGTACTTGATGGACGTCCGTGCTGCATCTGAAAAATTGAAGGCGCCATGACGCGAAGCGTGAGTTCTCAATGCTCTGCCATATGCTGCCAATGAGGTGTCGCTCAGATTCGGGAGAAAAATTAAAAAAGAGGCCCGAACACATCTCTCCTATCTTCGGCTGTGTTATTCACGTAGTACTTGAAGCACCATTACAAATAAGACAAACGCAAACAAACAAAATATGGAAATAAAGCGAGGGAAAGGATGCGCGTCAACGACGGCGCAGAGATACAACTATTCGTACTTGATGGACGTCCGTGCTGCATCTGAAAAATTGAAGGCGCCATGACGCGAAGGTTGAATTCTCAATGCTCTGCTATATGCTGCCAATGAGGTGTCACTCAGATTCGGGAGAAAAGTTAAAAAAGAGGCCCGAATACGTCTTTCTTGTCGTCGGCTGTGTTGATACTCGTTCTTTCTTCCTTTTTCATGTTCTTGCCTGATTCTTTTTTAGGATGGATTTTTAGACCCACGTCTTAAGCTCGTGTAAACCGCAGCACTGACACGGTTCTTGTGGAAATAATGGTGCTTGAATGCGTCCAGTGGCTTTAATTTTTTTTGTTTTCTTCAATTTCAGAAGTCTGTCGGTCACTTCAATACGTTCAATTTTACAATTTTTACTGTGTAGGTACGATTAATAAACTTTGAACCTGAAAATAGCGTACCTAAACTTGTGCTGCTTTGCCAAAATTTTCTGAACCCCTCTCCACGAAGGGGATGCCCCATCAGGAAATATCCCACTGCGCCCCTTTAACTAGCCAAGGGTCTACGCCCTCAGATGCGAGCCAGTCCGACCCTGATATCCACTTTTAAATTATTTCTTATGCAGCTTGCACGAGCACACCCCATCTTTCCACTTGCACATAGTTCCTTTTAGTATAAATATGTCCAAATATACTTCCATGGATAGAACTAGAAACTTCGTACGGGTGGAGGGAGGAGGGGGTAAGAAGGGTCAGAAGAGCTCTTTCTCAAGGAGTGATGGGGTGGGGGCCGCGCATTTAGACAGAGTTTTTCAGACTAGGAAGTCGGACTCAGCAGGTCATTTCTAATGTCTAATCTCTCTAAGGTGTTCTAAGGACTAGCTTGGTTTCAGCCCTATGGGAGAACTTTCGATTTTGACCCCGGAATTTAACTGCATGCCCCGTCAATTTTTCTCGATTTTCGCGGGGGAAAAAATTCGAGATTGTAGTCGAATCCTACGCAGTTTGAGACGTAGAATTGATTGCGCACAGTTCCGAGGTTTGGCGAAACTTCCTGAGCCGAGAAACGCTCGAACACGAGTGTTTTTGACCGGTTGGTGAAAGCTCACTTTGAACTTTCACGTTGAACGCACGCTTCTCGCCGCCTACCACGCAAACCAGCAAACTCGTGAAGCTTTTTGTTTAGAATATCGAAATGTTGGAATAAATCTATGCAAGCCAATATTAGATTTGGAAACTGCAGCTCAAGATGCTGCTCAAGTGTACACATTGTGTTTCATGGCGTTGTGAATGTTGTGATAGAGGGATGTAAATTTTACCTAGGACAGGCCCAGGCGAAAAATATACGAGTACTCCATCTCTAAATTCCGCTATGTTCATTCTATGTTCAACTCGCACCTTTGCCATAATATGCAAAATAAATATTTGTGCGGAAAACGACACCTCTCGACGTAGCGTGATCGTGTCATTATCGCAGTGTGACGCGCCTTCAATTCCACCTAGCGGCAATACGGGCAACACCCGTGGTCGAATAGTTATCTCACGAACGCCTTCCCCAAATGTCTAATGCAATGTCGATGTCTTCACGCTGGGGAAAAATTTTTTGATCTCCGATTGAAACGTCACACATCTACATTTGTGATTAATTTTAATTTAATTATTTTTAAAAAAATGAACGATATATTTCTTAGAAGTGCCTGCTGTTTTTCCAAATTCATTTCAAATATGTATAGGCTGTCCCAAAAGTACCCGGACTGGTTCTAGGACTTCAAATCTACAATACTCAAGTAGCAAAATAAATTTTTTTTCTAGAAAAAAAATTTTAAGAGAATTTCTAGAAAAAACAAAGAAAATGAGAGTTATCCAGAAAATAGAAAGAAAAAACATTGCGAGTCAAAAGTCTGACCAAAGAAAATAGAACTATTTCATATAATAGGTCTACTTTCTGTCGACTTCCCATTTGGAAAAAAGATAGGAAATTTATTGAAAGTAGAATTATTCTCTAGCCAATTTCTCAATGTTTGCTTTTAAGAAAATGCAAGGAAAAAATGTATTCTTTTTATTTTCTTGTGTCTATTTTCTAGATCTACTTTATACCTATTTTCTTTCAAGAAAATTGTTCTACCTATCTAGAAATAAGATATTTTCTTGATGAGCGCTACCTAGAAAGTAGATGACAATGCTACTTGGGTATAGGTACATACTTGATCTTGGTATTATTTTATAGATCAACTCACTATCGATTAAGACCAAGATCAGCGCAATCGGATAAAAATAGACAGAGTTATGGCAATTTGAAATCAGTGAGAAAAGTTTACCCCTACGGTTTTTACGGAAGATTCTTCTTCGCCGATATTGATACTTAAAAGTATGATCTGGTATTGTGTTTCTCCAAAAACTTCCATGTAATACTAGAACAACCCGGCAACATTGCCCCGTGGTGATCGGCTGTCGCCAGTTGTCGTCGTCCGTCTTTGGGCCAAGAGTTCAAAGGGCGTAAATCCCCGACCGACCGTGCGCACCCCGAACGGGTGGAATGCACCTGCAGTCGGCATCACCTGAAAGCTTCGTGGAATCGTGGATGCTCCATCAGGACATGGCGCGGCCTCACACCTCCAACTTTAAACGTGAATTTATGAGTAAAAATGGAGTTGAAACAATCCTTCATCCCTCTTTTAGCCCTGACTTGAATCCTTGCGATTTTTGGATGTTTCCCGCGCTAAAGAAGGAGCTTCGCGGACAAAGATTCGAATCGAGGACCGTAATCCATATCGACGGTGAAAGTCTGCAATCACATAACTCGTTTGCGATGTCTAAAAATTTCCGCCTCTACGTCATTTTTTTAAAGGAGAGCAAATTGACTTTATTTCTTGAAGTTTTTGCAGAATTTTCTTCGCATTGAGAAGAAAAATCATGACAGTTTTAAAGAATTGCCGTTGAGTAGTTTTCCATTTAAAAAATAAAGTATGACAGGAAGTCTGCGACGTCGCAAACCGAGTTATGTGATTGCCGACTTTCACCGTCGATATGTTAAAACTTGAGTGGGCAAAGAAATATTAAATTTTGAGACAATAGATGCGATTTACGTGTAGGTCGCGTAGGTACTCTGACAATATTTTTTAATATATTTCACAGCCTCGTAAATTTTACTCGGTCATTGGAATCAGTTGGACTGCCTTACGCAGGAAAGATAACCAAGCCCCATCAGCTATTGTCAAATTTAATGGGACAATTTAATTTTTTTTACATAAAAACGGTTGTGCAGATTTTGGTGCAAATTTCAGTGAATTTTCTGCACAGCACGAAGCTGGCTCCTTCAAATTTTCACTGGAGTCCACTCAAACGTTCTCTTGTAAAAAATAAAATTGCCAAGTTAGATTTGGCAATAGCTGATGTAGCTTGGTTCTATTCTGCTAAACGAGATCCTGTTGTCAATTTGCAAATCCCCGCACAGGATTGAACTGCAACGTTTTGTTAGTTTCACTTGTTCATCCGTACTGAAAAAGATTTTCATGAGATGAGAGCCCAAATTCTCTGCAAACTTGGGTGAAAATACAAGGCAGAAAATTTAAGCAACGTTGCGGTTGCCCCGGTCTATCGTTAGGGACTATATGGTATGACCTGAGCACATCAAACACTTCAAAAGTCGTCGAGAAGACGATCTTTGAACAGTCAACAATTTCACCGATGAGCCCTCCAGTTTGTGCATGGGACTGGCGCTTGAGAGATGATATTTGATAGTTCTAGATTCTAGAATCTAGAGGCTATTCATTGAATTCTCCAGGAAAAGTATTTGATCCCACAATGATATCATTCAATAAATCTATTTATTTAAAAAAGCCTAGCTATACAGATTTTCATTATTGATAAATTTATTTTGCACAAACCCTTAATATTTACAATTCAGGTTTCAGGATGAACATGCAGTAATCAACAACAGATTCAATAAATATCTTTCAGAATGGGATTTTAAACTGCATTACCTGATCTACAGACCACAGTTTCCTTCATTTCTTCTTCTTTCCTTTTTTCTTGTCTTAAGTGAAGGATGCATTATTTGGACCGCGTTTAAGAGAAAGGAACCAAGCCACAACAGCTATTGCCAAATTTAACTGGGCAAGTCAATTTTTTACGAGAGAACGTTTGTGCGAATTCCTTTGAAAATTTTAAGGAATTTGCTTCGTATTATGGAGAAAATTCGCTGAAATTTGCACGAAAATCCGCCCAACCGTTTTCATGTAAAAAAATAATTCGCCCAATTAAATTTGGCAATAGCTGATGTGGCTTGGTTCCTTTCTGTTTGACGCGGTCCATTTAGCAGAGACATTGCTAGAGGAAACGTACATAGTGTTGACAGGCAACAATATAAGCTCCCTCGATGTCTCAACAGGTAAAATAATTTTTAACGTTTTTTAAATTTTAACTAAAAAGTGTGATGATGACCAGAAAATTACAGTCCTTTATTAAAACAATCGATATTTCCTCAGCAGTGCTAAGGAAGAGTGCCGTATATGCCTTCCATTGTTGCCAAATTTTCTTTCATAAATTACGAACTTTTGGTAAACACTGCAAACATTTTGTTATCATTTTTCAGAGAATTCTGCTCATCATTTGATCTGAATATTTGAAAACTTTAGAAATATTCATGACTTTCTTCAAACATAAATCTTTTCTGGGAGGAAACATAGCAAAATTCAAATGCTCATGCAGCGCTTTTTCCTTAGAACAGTAGAATATGTTCCTGCAATATGGCAGCCTGCATCCCATTTGGAGCAAGACGTCCATGCATTGGCTTATGAATGACTCGCGGAGCAAAGACCCTAAAATCGCAGTCATTCATTTCATTGGGGTTATATGGAGATAAAATATCTTTGATACATTCAAATATTCATATTTTACGCACATGATAAGCTTGGCTTGAAAGCAGGAATGTGTGTTGAAGCTTCAAGAATTTTCACCTTAGTTATTTAGTTTCTGAAACTTTCATAACAAGCATGACGTTTCCAGTCAGCTGCAAAAAAGTTACAAATTAAAACATTGTCCACACAACAATAGAAAATTTTAAGTAAAAAGATGCGCACAACATAAAGCTTGAATATCAATCCTTAGCCACTATGTTATATAATAGGTGAAAAACGTCTAAAAACAGATGACATCATTCAATTTTTTCCATATGATCGGTGATAGTCACAATCCTCAACATCTCATGCAGGCATTGATTTTTCAATTTTCTGTTGCAAGCATCATATTGTTCGTAGAATTTTGAGAAAGAATTGTAACATAACGTTACACCTTACAAATTATCTGCTAACCGAGCAATGAAAAACTTTTCACATTCAGTAAAAATGCTAGACAAAAGAAATTGAATAATAAGCTCTTCAAAAGTTTTGTCTGGGTTTTTGGCTCAATATAAGTGTAAAAAATATGTATAAAAATAAAAATAGCTTTTACAAATCGATCATACTAGCTAATCGAAACTTATGAGTTCTGCTGTCTGAGCTTCTGGCTGCTTAGAAGCCGGTATACTTGAGTGAGAATTGGGTGCCGGTCCCAAAGGAGCATTCGGTACATCTGGTAGATTTGCGACGAGAGTGCTAGCCATTACCTGGCCAGGTTGAAAGCTTTGCACTACTGGTTTAGGCTGACCTGGTGCTTCGATTCCATTTTGAGTTGTTTGCGACACAGGAGCACCGTATTGGACGCCAGCCGGGAGCTGGTTCTGCGCCATGGTCGAGACAGGGATAGGTATACCTTGATTTGGCATGTTGGGTTGATTGACCATCGGATGAGGCATCATTCCTGGCTGACTCATCACCGGTTGATTTGGTTGATTCACCATGTGTTGGTTGGGCATTAGCTGTTGATTCGGCATGCCTGGTTGCATGGGCATCCTTGGTTGTGTCATGTTAGATATGGGCTGCACCATCGGGGGCATACTCGAGGGCTGAGTTTGAAGTCCTTGCAGCGGAGCACCAGGAATGTGTTGTAAAGACTGAGGAGGCTGTAAACTTTGGGGACCTAATTTAGAGGGAGATGGAGGACGATTTGCTTCTGTTTCTCCTATCATTGGGGGAACATTCTGATTGACAACCATGCCTTGAGGACCCATCACTAGATTTGGCGGGAACTGAGGTTGAGGCCCAGGTCTGATAAGAGGCGGCATACCAGGCACATTCATCGGATACGAATAATTTGGTGGCATCTGTGGCGGTATTGAGTATGGTGCTCCTTGCTGAGGTAGACTCTGAGGCACTTGACTTTCGAAACCAGGGACTGAGGCGTACGGATTCATGCTTCCCATCAGATATTGTTGTTTCTGTTGCTCTTGCCGCACTAGCATTTCTCGCTCTTGCTCTTGAATGCGTTGTAGAGCCAACTGTCGTTGATATTGAAGATATTCTTGTTTCTTCTTACGCATAGTGTCCAATTTCTGTGCCATCAAAGACTGCCTCTGCCTCTCCGCCATTTCTGCTTCACGCCTTAATTTTTCTTTATGTTCCTCCCGCAGTGCATCCAGAGCGGCTCTTGCGTCTTTCACTTGAGTTAATTTATCTTGAAGTCCTTCGTAATATGCCCGACTATCATCCTGCTCTTGTATGAAATTCAGGAGTTTGGAATGCATTGCTGTTATGTTCAAGAATGGTGTTTGGACAGTGCTATCATTTGCTATTGAACGACCCCTACTGTAATTGGACTTAATTCGGTTTACGAATACATCCACCTGACTTTTTAGAGTCGAGACGAATTCGTCCATGTCTACATTGTTGTCGATGCCTCCGTTTTGCAGCTGTTGTATTGAGGAGCTAGACGTGGAGGACACAGGCAAAGTTGGAGCAGTTGTCTGCGCAGACGTTGGAGCCGAGGGGCTGCGATTAATAGTACCTGTGTCATTTTGTTGACGATTTTCCCAATAGGCTCTATTCAGATAATGTGCCAGCTCTGGATCTGTATCTTCTTTTTCTGGGCTCTCAGTCACAGGTGGTGAGTAGTTTGCAGTTCTAGATGGAAGGGAGGACGCTCGGGAAAAACTTTTATTTTTTTGAGCCTCCGCTTCAGACTGTGAAAGTGCTATCGCTAAGTTCAGTTCTTCCTCTTCTCGTAGCTGCTGCTCAGTTTTGCGAGGTGGCGTCTGAAAAAAAAAAATGAGAGCTTATAAGTTTTTGTGATGGTCACAAAATAAAACAGAAGTTTCTCTGGACATCAACTTCTCATAAGTCATAATTTATTCAGCTGAAAGCTGGAACATGTGCAAATTTTCCTCATACTGCTGATTCCAAAGTAAAAAGCAGATTCTAGACTTTGCTTAAGATAATTTACATGATGAGCAACTTATGTAATTTAAGTAATGAACTACTCGTCTTTTAACTCAACCTTGAGTTTGCAACATCCTATTCTTGGAAGCTTTGAAAAAGTTTGAAAAATTGCAGTTCATCAGTAAAAAAGTAAAAATTAAACTCAGCAAACGGATTTGTAGCACTATTTACAGTACAATGAACAGAACATTGTACAAGGTGGAAAGTACTTGCATTAGAGTAGAACCGCAAGTAAAAGAAAAGGTTACTAAAGAATTACACATAATTCAATATAAACATCCTCTTAGATTAATTGAATTAGTTATTCTCAAATAGACTTGACCGTTAAAAAAAAGAAAATTGAGTTCTGAGTGGTTCAATGTTGCTTAGACAGAGATGCATTTTGTTGCAGAAATACAAGCAAAAAAACGGATTTTTAAGGCCTAAAAATATCTGGAACGTCCTGTCATTCTCATAGAGTCTCGAGCGCTAAAGCGCTATGTAGTACTTGCTTGCCTTGATTTGATCCCATTTGAATCCTTCACACGGTTATTTCGAATTTTCAAGAATTAAGGGGTAAATATTTGTTCTTCCGGGCCAAAATTGTCTCTGTTTTTGAGATCTTGGTAAGTTTTTGCACTTACAAGCGATCATCAGTGATGTAATCATCAATAAGTAAGTATTCGTTGCATTTCATGTAGAGAAAGTGTAAATGAATGTTCTCAAGCCCGTAACAGCTTGAAACACTACAAATTTGCTTTAAATGAGGAAAATCTGTTGAAACAATTCTGTTAATTCTCAACAAGACTTAAGTACCAATTCGCTTTTTTGTTCTTTTTCCGTTCAAATTGTAGGAAAATTTCTGAGACAAACATAATCAAATTTTAAAACGCAAATCTTCTCACACATTCATTTTTCTGACCTTCAATAGTTCGAATGGACTTATTAAAACAGTTTTCACCATTTTTTCCGATTTTCATTTCTGGCACTTGGGTTTTCTTGAGAATTATCTATTCAATTGAGATTATTTTAAGTAATGTGGGGAAACTTGAAAGAAATGATTACCTGAGACTGTTGAGCAAGAGAGCTGTTTAAGTATTCCGAAGGTAATGATTCATCTGATTTGTTCGTTATTGCAGGTGGCCTGAAACAGATGGAGTAAATGCTGATAACTCGGGAATTTTCATATAATATCATTTTTCAGAGGAAAAAGAGTTCTTTTGATTTGGCTGCGTTTAAGGTCTGAGCTTTTTTATTGAAAACAGACAACAAAGTTTTCACAATATTGACGCAAGTCTGCAGAAAACAAATTTTTCAAAAAAATGCCTTTCTCAAGGCCTAAAAAAACGCGTTTTTGTATGGTTTTTATTGAAAAAAATAATTTAAAAAAATTCAGAAAATTTGTGGGTGATGGAAAAAAACTAGGGCCATTTTCAGCTTCAACAACCAAAAGTAAATGAGAAAGGGCTCATTAGACATCTGAATTGTATCATTTTCTCCTACTTTCAGATGCAAAGCAAACAGACAAGTTTTACATGGAGAGGTATATGGGTGGATTATGCTACAGCTACACCCAGAAAATTCTCGTTATCCAACACAGTAGAATGTTTTACATGTATACATTACATTTTTTCACATGTATTTTGCGCTACTAAAACCAAAAAAGGACCTTGGTTTATTTATAATTAGCCTTCATTTTCCAGAAAATTGAATTTTCCTCAGAGAAGCAAGTTTTTTTTGGGAAATCTTGAGTGTCATCGGAACATATAGGAAAAAAACTGCTATCATCTTCAAACTCAGCGCTAAAATTGTCTTTAGAATCAACCATCATTTCTCCAGAATTTATTCAGATGCAGACCTGTGTACATTTTGGAAGCACTTTCATGCATTTTCTGTTGCATGATTGCCACCTGGGCATTTGTATATTTCGATGGCAAAAAAGCAAAACCGTTTGCAACATTGTAGACTGTATACTTCATTTTTTTTAGAAATCTAGTCCACAACCCCTAAAAAAGTCCATGATTTTTCTATTCTGTTATAAGAATATTCTGTATAAATTTCAAACAATAAAGTTGGCTAGCTCCTCTTCAAAAAAATAAAATAGCCGGGGAAATTTTCAAACTTTGCAATGGAGATGCGTAGTTTTGCACTTTGATCATCAATTTTTACTGGGGTACCTACACTTATTTTGATACAATTAATGCTGATACTCACTTTATCTAGAACATTGTAGCATTCAATAGCATAGCAACATTGTAGCATTCCTCAGATTAAATAGGGATATTTACCTTGAAACTTACTTGACTCATTGTTGGGCAACGCCAAAAGTATACAATGGATTCAAATAAAATATTGACCTAATCAGGAAAATAATGAATTATTAAATCAACTTTCTGCAAGACTCGACTTACTTATGACTTTTCTCATAGCAGACATCACAGACTCTGACTTCTTTTTCAAAACCAATATTTGGTAACGTGCTCGTTTGACTTGCACATTTCCCACAAAAGACTTGACCACAAGCTCGACAATGATGCTGGAAAAAAAGGGAAAAATATTGATAAACTTTACAAAAGAAAAAAAAACAGGGCAGAGAAAAAAAACCAGTCCCAAATTGCAAAAAATGCAAAAATCACTAGACTGCACTGGCTGTAAAGTCAAGATGGGAATCCAAAATAGGAAGTTTCCACAACTTCAATTAAAAAAAACTCAATCAAGCTCAACAAGGACTATAAGTAAGTTCAGTTAGACCTCCCAGGATAGTCCTATTCTGCCATGTTTGGGAAAAATGCTGCATGAACATTCGAAGGTTCCCAGATTTCCTGTGCTAATATATTTATTTTTGAGAAAATTTATAAGAATCTTTCCTTCAGATTTTCAGATACTTTCGATTGAGTTGCGAAAAAACTCCTCTGAAAAATTGGAAGAAAAATATTCACAAATTTCCCTAAAAATTGGTACTTCACTAAGGGAAATTTGGCAATGCCTGAAGGCTCATGCATCGTTCTTCTTTAGCACGGTTGTATTCAGGAGAACTGCATTGCGGCAGCCGTAATCAAACAGAGATAAGATAGATGTATATCTGATTCTCTCCTCACTCCCACCACAGTACCCAATCTACCTAATGCCATAACTGTAAACACCTCCAGTCTTGAGACTAAATATGAGGCAATAATTATAATGTTGCAGGAAACGGTACAACAACTCAAAAAAACTGTTGGAAGACAAGCCCAGAAAATTGCTTCTCTTTCCAGGGAAATACACTTCGTCCAGACTTGAGCCAATATATGTAAGGTAATTTTTCTTTTGCATCCAAGCTTATTCATAAGAGACGTTTGTTAAAGCTTATTAAAAAACATTCTTCATTTCCTTTATGGAGAGAAACAATGAACTTTACTCATTATTCCATTCCATTTCATCATTCATCATTCAGATTATGAACTAAATCTTCAAAACACTAGTATTACTTCTGTGTAGGTCTTTTTGGCATTTAACTGTCTTTTTCACCTATAAGAGCTTCTGTCATGTGTTGTTTAATTACTCCCTGTTACTTGTAATTAACAACTACCCAAGTCAGCTTATTCACTAATTACTTTTGAGTTTTGCAGTTTTACCGTAAATACCATTATTCTCACTCTCTGTCAATTTTCACATAAAAATGTATTGATAAATAAAACTTGAAGAAAAAAAAAAGAAAAAAAAAACCTTTTCTTAAACCACATACATAATCTTGATACTACAGATATTTGTGGTAATGTCTTCAGTTTCAAAAGCTACTCGATGGTGAGACTACCGGACTACCTATCTCGTTTACAGTATTAAAAAATCTCCACTTCTGTCTTATTCTTTGGAAGGAGAACAAACCAGTATTATCCCTTGATGGTTTTACAGGGTTTTCTTCACATAGACGAGAGTAATCACTGAGGGTCTCAAGAATTGCTGTTGATGGTTTTCTACTTATAAAATAGAGTTTAACGGGAAGTTCGCAGCATTGCAAATCGAAATACATTGTAGTAGTTTCCGCATCCTGCTATCTTAGCAGAACAGTTATTCCTTTTTTTTTTTTATTTTTAATCAATGAGGAAAGGGGGTTAGACGGTTACACGGGTAGAGAAAAGCCCAAACCCATTTCAAAATAGGATCAAATTTTAAAAAATTAAACAATTAATTTGCAATTCTTTCTTATTCCAAAGGACTTAAAAACTTCTAAGAGAACTGGGTTAAAAACTTCTGTTGGGCAATGAGGAAGAAAAACTAATTCTCTACCTTTCCCACAAATTATTCAGACAAGCAAAGCTATGCAATTAAAAAGTACCTTTCTATTAAATAATGTGAAAGCATCGCGGCATCTGTGACAGCAGTGGCCTTCTGCCCATTCTGGTGCTGTGTCGACTGTAAACATTGCGTCACTCTCATTTAGAGTAGGAAAACTGCATCCCTCCGCTTTCATAAGAGTAACTACATCCTGAAAAAAGGCGAAAATTATGCTTGAGAAACAGACCGTCAGAAGAAACAATTTTCGAATAGAAGGAAGTGTTAAAGTAACAAAGGATGTGAAGCTACGACTCAAGGAATGAAGTTATGTTCAGCTAGGATTCTCACTGCAATGCAGTTGATCTTTTAGTATTCAACTTGAAGGTTGAAGACACAATGGACCACTGGACAGTATGCAAATTCAAGCATTATAATAATGGACCACTACATAAGGTGTGAATTTATGCACTTTATGAATTCTCATCAAAATTTCGCGTAAAACTCGATTTGTGCAACAAAAATGACATTTTGGTTCTTTGATGCATAGATTCAAACTTCTCTCTCTCAAAAAAAAACCCAAAAAAAAACCATTACCTACTTGAGTTGAATCACAAACTAAACATTACTGTAACAGTCTCTGCAGTATGCAAAAATGGCAACGTCAATCTCTGCCCTCTGACTCAGCTGTTGCATAATACCAACACTTGGAACTACAAAGAGGAGGGAAGTAACATTGCTTCATTAAGATACCTGCCAAAACTGTTGTAGTGCGCGAATTGATTTATGTGAACTCAGATTTTTTTTTTTTTTTGCGACCATGAAATCTAAATTTTTTTGTAACTGGCGCTCAAAAGTTGTATTGATATATTGGTTAGGAGTTAATGTCGGTAATTTCTATTGCACAAAATGTGTTTTGAAGAGGAAATATGAATCAGAGTGCTTCAATTCAAACCTTAACAGAGATCTATTTTGATAAAAATTCGGTCTGCGGAAAAAAAAAATTAAATAAGATTTCAGAGACAGAAAAGAAGACAGATATGATAACACACAAAGAGAAATACTTGCTTCTGAAGAAGAAAGAAATGGCCTCAGAATTTTACCCATGTTTGACAGTTTAAAGAGAATAATGGGCCATGGGAAAGTTCAGAACATTAAAAGACATGATTAACACTGAAACATACTTTTGGAGAATTACATGATAAAGGCATTCATTCCACTGAAATACAAGTAACTAACCAGAAAAGGAAGGAGGAGAGGATGCTAAAAAAGTTGGTGGGAAAAAGAGGAATAACCACAATAGGGCAGAGAAGCATTAGAAGTTCCTATTCAGGGTGCTTATATTGATCCAGCCATTAGCCAACACTAAGTCACCTGGAGCATATCATTTCTTTTATCCTGAATAATATTCGAACTGTTTTTCAGCCCAGTCGTCTGTGTCAGATAGTTAAGTTATAAGATGCATTTTGTTTTTATATGTTAAAGGATAGGGATCTACGACACAAAAGTGTTAAAGAGGGGGGGAGGTGGGGGGTTAAAATGCCGAAAAAGTGCGTTAAGTAATTTATGAATGCTCCCTCACCACACATAATTCACTAAGGAAGAAATGGAGTGCTATTATGAGAGACTAACATGCAAGATGAGAAAATAATTGCTTTTTAGGAGACCGGATCTACAAAAAAAAAAAAAAAAAAAAAAAAAAAAAACTAGAGAAGGGGAAAAAAGAAATCCGAAAATCAAAATATTTTTTTCCTAAAAAAAGTTGGTGACAAGGTTATACTTTAGAGAGCTGACTGTTGATGAAAGTAACTTGCCTGGACAGCACGGTATCTTTGATTTTTTCGAAAAGCAAAAGCCCATCCTTGAATAAGCTCCAGAATTTTTTCTTTCACTTCCTTGTGTTGTGTAGTTTTGACCAACTCGTGAAGTTGCTCCATAAATTGTAAGGAGGCGACCTCATCGTGGATGACTGCCCCACAGTTTTTTACCATAGATTCTAAGACCTATTAGACAAAGGAAAAACAGGAACATTGAATATTATGTCTGTAGAAGTTGAAATCCTGCAAGACAATGGAACTTTGCTGAATTTTGATGACTGATTAAAATCTTAGAAAACGTTTCGAAAAGAGCCCTTCTTCTGAACAATTCTTTTAAACTTTTTGGACTGAAATCATTGTAAAATAATGGATTTTCTGGGAAATTTTAATTTAAAGTTGATTTTGAATCGGAGAATTCTAGGTGACAAACCTTCTAAGACAGATGCTTCTGACTGGCAAGGAAACAGTGCGCAGTCTAAATCTTGACAAATGTAAAGTGCCGTCCTCCTACATGACCTTTAATATAAACCTAAACCAGAGCATCTGTGATATTACTCCATACTATGATGAGATAATGAAGTGAATAGCAAAGAACATTATGCCATGGATGAAAATATTTGGCAACGGTACCATTTTTTTACTTTTTTATGAGATGTTCTTCTTGATCTCCTGAGCAAGGAAAATTGAAAATCTTTAACTTTCTGAGTGCCACTTCCCAAAAAAAGTAAGACTGAGAAGAGAATTCTTTGACACATTTAATTGCATTTTATGGCTGAATTGAAGATAAATCGAATTGGTAATCTAGAAAAGTTCTTTTATCCTCTCCAACACTGGAGATGAATTAGCCGCCGTTTGCCCTCACTATCCTTTGTTAGAATGAAATACTAGTCAAAGAACCAAATTTCTTTCAAATGATGACAGTATATATACAGTACAGCATCGCTTCAATTTCCAAACGAAGACTTGTCCAAACGCAACATCATTCTCATCACCAATGCTACAGCATTGCCACATCTCCATGAGAACTTCTTGTTGAAATGCTGGAAAATTCACCATTTCGTCCCACTCTACTCAAAAGCACACGGAAAATTTCATGATTAAAGTTCATCATCCTTCAGGAGTTGTTAGAAACATCATAAGAAAGAAGAACAAAATACAGCCGACGTCAAATCTCATTATTTAACAAACAATGTCCTAAGGTAAATTATATGTCACAGGCAAATAGTCAAATCAGGAACTTTATCAACTGCCTAGGCAAATAGTCAAATTTCGAAAGTTTGCGATGTTTTCTGCATTAAGACAAAGATATCTTTTGTTTTAAATAATTTGAAGGTAAGAATTCATCAAACTACCAACTATCATTGTATTTTCCTTTTCAAAACACTTCTAATGCACTTTTAACCAACCAAATTTTAAAAATTCTATATCTTATGAAATGAATGTTCATTTCTGACCTAGAAATTATTACAGCAACCATAGAATGATGCAAATTTTTAAAAATCAATTTATGAAGACCAATAATTATTTTGTCCAAAATTAGCAGGAGTCACAATTTTAATCTGAGTGAGAATGTTTCTCACTTTGCATGGGCAATTAACAAAATTCCTGATTTGATTATTTGCCTGCGACAAATACATTTTATACTTTTGGAGTAAATGTTTAAAAGATGACCACATACCAATAAAGCATACATTGCAGTATGGGGGTTGATACTTGTAAGTTTCTTCTTGACTGCAGCAAGAGCGACTTTAGGCCTGAAAAAATTATGGAGACAAATGAATATATTGAGTAACTACCAAAGATAGCTCATATTTCTAATGATTCATTCTTGATAAACTCTTGTAATATAATTTAATGAATGTTTTGTGGAAGAATATATTCAGCAAAAAAAAAAGGACCAATTTTACAAAAACAACTAATTTTGTCTTCTGAGATCCTTAAGTATTCTTGAATAAGTGCCATTTTTCCACTCCATTGGAAATCTTAAAAGTGTTGGCTCTTAAAAAACCTGAGTGATATGAGTGAAATTTGCTCTTACGGAGCAGTGTTCACTCCACAGATAAAGCCAATTCTGCACTATGCAAAAAAGATTAGGTTCCACTCTGCACTCACATTACTCAGGTTTTCCGGAGGCAAAATAGCTTCTAGAGTGAAATGCTCTGCAGATTTTTGTAGATTTTGAATCACTGTTCGTGCCCCAAAAACTGATGGACCAGGGGTGTGACCTTCTCTACTGTACTAGAGAAAAACGCTGTGTATACATTCATGAGTTGCCAAATTTTTAGATGTCTTAGAGCTGATTGCAGACGAAATTCTCCAACAAATTGAAGGACAAATATTTATACATTTCTCTGAAAATCTGACAGCATCTAAGGGCACATACAGCATTTTCCTCATCACAGCAGTGGGTATTATAAAAGGGTTTATATGCCCCTGCAAATGAGTCGTTTGAAGAAATCATTGTATCTGCATCTCGACGCTCAAGCAACGGAACAAACTGCCCACCCAACAAATGATTGCAAAAACATTGTGACGACAAGCTAACCAAAAGGAGCAGTGCGGCCATGTTTTCATGGTAATACTTGTGACCGTTGCCGGGGGTGGCGTCACCGACTCATCCCCTTGCTTGCTCATTTTCTCTGTGCAGACTATAAATGTTACTTTAGAGTATATTTACTTACTGAACATCTCCTTGTCGAATTAAGTCACAGATTTTGATGATTTGAGGCCAGGGTGGCTCCAGATTTAAATTACTCGTAGCTGCTTCTACAAATCAAAATAATAAAGAGTATTAGGAAAAGAACTTGGCAAAGAGAGAAGGAGCTTATAAAAGAACTTGAAAAATAGAAAGAAAATTGGGATTATTATTATGTTTAAAATTATTGTTATAGGCAGTCGAATTTTGCTCTCTTTAAAATTTTGATGATTTGGTCATAAAAATATGAGTCTTCATGACAAAATTGAGGTTTGAAATAATTTAGAAATGGTGAAGGTTCAACTGAAATCAGCTGACGGCATTTCACAGTGCCTAATTTTCTTGGAGGTTTTATTTTTTTTAATAGAGAGCTAAAGAACATGACGCTTTGAAACTTTCATAGAGAATATAAGTATTCCCATAATTTCAAGACAGAATGTTGATCAGTATCCCATTTAAAAAATAAGACAAGATAGGAAATCGGGTGATGTAGAAAGTAGTTGGGCTGATTCCGATAAATTCTGTCTGAATAATCAATAGACATTAAAAGAACTGGTATGGTGTTTGATAAAGAATCTATGAAAATCATTGGTAAAGAAATGAGAAAATTGTCGACATTCCTTTTTCCAATCAAGGAAACTTTTCATCAAATACAAGGTTAGATTACACCTAAAATCGCCTAATCAAGGGATGATCAGCCTACCTTGAGAATTTTTTGAAAGATTTGAAAGCTGGCAGGGAAATTTTCTGCTGCAAAGAGAGATGCTTTCAGCCTTACAAAAGGTAAGTTCAAGTGAAGAAAGATTCCTGACAGGAAAACCACTTATGTTTTGCAAACATGAACAAGAACTAAAGTTGATAAATCTACGACATTGCGTGAAATCAATCCCCTCAAGACTTGACAGTTATCTCCAACAATATTTCTCCTGTTAGGAGGAGGCTGATTTTACTCCAAAGTGTAGGAGCAGTATGATGTTGAATCATTCTTAGGAGGTACTTGCATCTGACAAATGGTGAAACTCTTTCTTTGAAGAGCGACTACTGCCACTGATAAAAAGATACTTTCTCTTATGTAATACCAATAAGTCCAAGCCATGATGATGAATACTTCCTGATTATAAAAAGGAGCGCTATGTACTTTGGTTAAGTGAACTTCAAGAATGAGAACTGCCCCTGCAGTTGGACATTTGGTTGCAATGTACATGTTATGAAATGATCATGTAAGTATATTGTTGTTGATTAAAATGAGAATTATGGACCTTAGATGTTTGCAAATTTTCGATCTCATGTTCTCAGATATGGAAAAATAATGAAAGAACTTCACTGAATGATAAAACAGAGACAAAGGCAAAAAAAAGCGCTGTAGTGGGAACCAGGAACTGTATGACCTAAGTTTGTGAAAACTTGCTTACCAATAAGACTATCAAGTTTTCCAGTTCGAAACATTCTGCAGCTGTACAACTTCGAGGATTGGAAACAGTAATCAGTTTTAATTTAAACTGACTGAAAAATAGAAAGAATTCGAACAAGACATGACTCACAATCACAATCAGGAAAACTCAATCAGCTGAGAGCTGATATGATATCGTCGTCATCGTTCAACGGTCAAGGTCGGCATTTTTAACACCAATCATCGCAAGCATCGATGTTTAAAAATTTCCCGCCCGTTTCTACTGTTTACTGTTTCTTATCAACATTTGAAATTTCTTCCTTTTTGTCGCTTATGTATCTCTCTTTTTCATGGAAGTTATTTCACAATAATAATTTACTGAAACAGTCTCAATAATTAAGCCAAATTTTCAGGATGTTGTGTGCCGTTAAAAGCTGCCGGACTACGTCTGAAAGTGGTGAGATCTTTGAATTCCCAGAAGAAGATTCTCTCAAACAACAGTGGCTGAACGCATGCAGTCTTCGAAGCTCTGACATTTCGCCGAAACATGGATTATGCCACGTGAGGGTTCAGTTAATTTATCATTAATTTCCTTATTTGTTACTTCAAATAATTCTTTTGATCCATCTCGTTCCAAAACGCCCAAGAAACAGTCCTGTGGGCTGTGTATTGCTTGCTCCGAATGAGTCTTTGACTCTCGACTGTCAAGGATCACAAATGAGAAGTGATTCTCATTAAATTAGACTTTCAAAGCAAGTAAAAGTCTTTCTGTCAGGCAATCTTTAGTTTTTCCTCCTAGGTTTATCCGGTTGAATCCATACAATTGTTCCTGCCGGTGGGCATCGTTGGAATTGGCACAGGGTCGATTGGATCATGGGTTCGTTGATCCAATTGCAAGTCTGATAATAAAGTCACGTTTTCATTTTAGATTTGATCCATATCAATCAAATGGACCCTGGTACTTTAGTTAATTGTCAATCGAATTGGTGTAAATTAAGTCGCTGTCCATTGGATCTTCTTTTTATTTTTTGATTGGTTCATGTGGATTACCATCACAAATAAGGCGGATAAAGGATAGTGGTCGCATTTCGATTTTGTCTGCCATCTTGAAGCGTTGTGATGTCAGGAAGGTATGGGTTTTACCCTGCAATCCGAGGTTGAGTCCCCGGGCCCAAGTACCTACTACGGTGTCATGTCCAGAGGGTACGAAGTGCACCCACCATTCTTTATCGGCCTTGCATCACAAAATATTACTGAAGAATTAATCAGATTGCAAATCCTCGTGATATGTAAGAGCTCTTTTCAAAAAAAATGTGGATCAAAGGAATGTCTTACTCTAAACTCACAGCACTTTGCACTTAGGCTCCGTATACTTCTCAGTTCAACAGACTGGTTGCTGATTCTTACTTATATCAGCATGACAAAGTGTCAGCAATTGTAAGTTAAATGATAAACGTCTTGCTTTAACCAGCCAAAGTATCAAGAAATAGCATAAAAATTCGGCCAGCTACACGATATGCAGTGCAAAGTTTTATCCATGTTTCGGGTAGGTTTTTGGTGTTTCTAGAGCCATTAAGCAAATTGCTAATCGATTTTTATCTTGGTTTTTCCTCATTTACCAGATTCATTTCAAGAGTGACCAGATTCAAATAGATCCCTCGAGTGGACGTTCAAAGCCCTCATTTGGCTCAGTACCATCTCTATTCTTAGAAGTAGACCCAGATATGGAACTATTCTATCATAATAACGACAGTCATTATAATCGAGTTAGGAAAGAACTGGAAAAAGATTCCTCTCGCCTGGAGACGGTAAGAATACGATATTGTGTTAATTTTAGTTCTTCGAATCCTTTAATTTGAATTGTAACTTCTCCACGTTACGGAAATAAAGATCGATTGATTTCTCTACTACTCATGCTTTGATAATTTTTTTTGTATCTGGAGTGAGAAACTCATGGAAAGGCTAAAATTTAGCATGGAGATTATCTATGTTTTAAGGTTGTCTTGGTACAGATATTTTGCCAAGGTAAAAATAGGAGTCATCCAAAAAGTCAGTTTACCTCTCCTAAATCTTCTTAACTATGATGAATAGAGAAAATGGATCAAATTCTGAAGAGGTTAATTTTTTAAAAGTACTGACACTTAGTCCTTAGTTCCAGTTTCATATAATTTTCAAGAGCAGTTACCTTCTGTTTTTTCCCCCCTGAAGGCATGCAACTCCCCTGCACAAAGTTTGGCTGTAAGGTATGATTTACAACACTAAGTTAAATTTAAATGTGCAATTTTCAAATAAATTTTCTCANCCCCCCCCCCCCCAAAAAAAAGAAACAAATCAAATTAAATAGTCGAAGATCTATAGCGGAAGCTCCATTCCAAAAATTTTAATCTTCTGACGGACTAGTCCTCCTTTGTTTTTTCGTTTTTATTATTCTTTTTTCTAAAAAACATGTCTTTTCTATAATAATATCTTCTTGCTGTCCATTTCAGATTACACATTTGCTCACTGTTAACGAAAAGCTCCAAAAAAAAGCTTCTCTTTATCTCAAAAAACAAACAGACCTGGAAATGGGCAAAGTACGTCAGTTCCTCGACATGGCAGAGCAGAATGCTATCGCAGATCAACTGCTGAAGATGAATAAAAGGAAGCCATTCCAATTGAAGAAGGCGAATACAATAGTAGACTTCGGTGAAAACGGTCTTGTTTTGAAAGACAGCGGTGTTGTATTCTCTCCAGGGGACTCGCAGAAGTTAGCATTTGATGCCTCCTTCAAAGAGGTGTCAAATCTGTTGGAAACAGTCGAAGCTGTTAAATTTGCCTCCGACATTCTCAACAAAGACATTTTTGGTAACGCAAAATAGTAAATCTCATCATGAAATAGTTGCACCTTAAGCTGAAGGCACTCCGACCAGTTCATTAGATTGTCGGTTGAAACTACAGTATTTTCCTTATAAGTTGCTGTGCAAGCTTGAAGTGTTCTATGCTGTTGCATTTGTGATTAATTATTTTTATGATGGGTCTTTTCTAGACTTACCTAAGTTCCGTTAAGCTTCTTTTTGGGGTCAAAATTTGACTTTACCATAATAAACCCACACATTAAATTGCTTTTGTTTTGAACTTCAAAAACCTTGAATGAATAAGTAATTTGTTAAAGGATATTTTCTACTACAGATGTTTATTTGCCACTGAACACTTGTTTCCAGGAGGTTGCATTTTTACCAAAAGCTGAGATAAAATGGAAATAAAAAATCAGTTTCGTCTCTTTTTTTACAAAGGTCTTTTTAAGGAAAGTAGGTCAGAATTTGACTTTGAGTTAATGCCTGAGCTTGACTCCAATTTTCAATTTGTAATTTTGTGGTTATTCTTGTTTTCATGTGAATAAATTATTTCTATTTTCTGTACAATGTCAATTTTTTTTTTAATTTTAAACAAAAACCAAACCTTTTCATTTATTTAATTTTATTTTATTTTTTTTAGGAGGAAAGTACAAATTATTGAAGGAATCTCAATAGAGTACAAATAGCTTTAAAGCTGGTGGCCTGTATTATTTTCACAAAAAGAACTGACTTCTATTTTCATGATTTATCGTATCGTCACCTTCTGGCCAATGTATCACATGTGCCATTTGTGCTTGAACTTCTTAAGTTTTTCCAGTTTTCTGCGGCAAAACTATTGAATAGAATCGCTTGAAAATTGTACCTAATATTTCTTCTGCTGTCCAGATTAATTCCTGAAATTTTCATGAAGGTATGTGTTAAAATTTGAGAGAAATAATCAAACAATTTAAAGATACCCGGCAAAAATAGCATTTCAGTGTAAATGACGCCTGTGATACTTTAGTCAGCAAGTGACAAGCTCTCTCACATTCTTATGTAGCCAATTAAAGAAAGCAAAGAGAAGATTTCTTTCAAAACACACTGATTGTGAGAGGCAACCACTTCCTCATAGTGCAACATTGCATGAATTTCAAATCTGACTGAAGCAATTAAGTTTGCTGTTCATATAGTAGAGGCCCAGTTTGAGAAGAAAACACTACCAGGATAATACTAAATGGCCTTCATTATGAATATAAAATGTGACTGCAATCTTGCAAAATAGCAAATCAAATTCATTTCATGGAGTGTAAACTTCAGACTGCACAGCCCATGTTTAAAGGGTTAATGTACAATTAAACAAACCATGAATTAGAGCTATTCTTTGCATGTATCATCCTCAATATAGACGACCAAATTGCAAAACCACATACCTCCATTGTGGTGTTTAAAAATGTCCGCTCGTATGTTATTTCAATGAGGGGCAGCAATCCAACTTAATAGCTTGAAATTTAAACAGAATATTCTCCCAACAGAAAAGAAAACTCAAGGACATTTTAAAGAAATAAAGTTGGCTACTTTTCTCAAGAAAAAATCAAATATGACGAGAAGTCTGCTACGTCACAGATGGAGATACATGGTTTCGCACTTTGGCTATCGATATTGCACTTAAATGATGTGTAGATAACAAAGTTTGAATTGCAATATTGCTTTATATTTGAGGTACACCTGAGGAAAAGGGGCTTAAGGTTAAAGAAAATTGAGTCAACTCTATTTTTTTGTACTGTGTCTATTTTAAAAAGCTTGGCGCAACACCATCATATATTGCGGCTGAGTTTTCTTCCAACTTAAAGAAAAACTTGTCTTTATGGACACTAAAATCATGTATGGAGTCTGACTTTTTTTCCACAACAAAATTTCCTGATACATCAGAGCTGAAACCTGTTTTAAGACCTGAAACTCTAATATTAATATTTGCTAAATGCCTTAAAAAAGCTAGCAATAATTTTTGGTCAGGATTTGTATCACTCGAGTGGGACGACACGATCAATGTGGAGGGTGACAGGTTGAGACAACTCTGAACAAAGTTAATTACATCTTTGAAAGTTTGACTTAAATACAACAGATTGCTTACACTTTCAACAACTAAATAAATGTGGGATACATTTTTAGCGATAAGTTTATTGATCGCTTGATTCACTTTCTCAAAATAAAAAGAACCTAAATTACTAACTTTAGAAAAATTGTCTTCCTTCTCATCGCTAAAGGTTTTTAAGACTGATTCCATTGCTTGTATGCAAACAATTTTTTCATTCTGAATCAGATCATCGAGGTTTAGCTTCAAGATATTCTTTGAGCAAATGTTGTTGAAGTGCGAGAGGGTATTGTGAAAAAGAACTAAACACATGCCAGCATTGGGATTCCTTTGAAATTGATCAATCAATATGGACGAGAGTAGGAAATCTGCTGCCACACTGCCATGAACCTCTTCTATGAGCAAGGTTTTTCCGTCATAGTTTTCGGCGAAGAGGGGTCTTTTAATGGCAGCCATTCTTGATCCAAAGCTCTGAAACAAATAAAAATCCGTTAGGGTAGGAATAATGCAGACTAGGTAGTCACAGTAACAAGGAATAGAACTACTGTCACGACATGTTCATGGTATAGGAGACTAAAGTGTCAAGGCAAATTGATTTGATGAATCAAAAGGACTTTGTGACGGGCAGCGTGCTTTGGTGAGCCTCCTGTGATGTTTATGAGGTTTTTTTTTTTTTTTTTTTTTTTTTTTTTTTTTTTTTTTTTTCAATTAAACGAATTATTTATCATTTATTTTACATTGTGGAACCATAATTGGACAGAATTATGGCCGAAGGCCTATATAGTGTACATGCTAATAGTGTTAGAAGTTCCTAAAATATTTACATATTGGTTCCCCCAAGTAGTTTCCCTTTATAGACTTATTTTATAGATTAAGTTACATTTGAAGATCCTCAGTCTTCTATATGTTTATAAGTAATCTTCTTCGTTTTCCTCGGAATTGTCTATTAACTTGTTGTCGAGGGAGGAGGGTTGGGTCGGAGGTTGCTTTTCTCTCAGGTATACAAACGCAGCCTGTATACGTACTTAAACACAGAAATAGGATGGACATCGCAGTTTCAGAGGTTCGCAAGTTGAAGTGACAATGTTTATGCCAAAAATAGATGTGAACATGCACATGAAGAAAGTGTAGTGATTACGCTTACCTATGAACACTTCACAATGGCATCAAAACTCGTTGTGTTTCCTTGCTGCAAATGTATTACGCATGGTTGATAATGAAGCGTACATAAGTAAGTTTCAATTTGAAAATCTACCAATTGAGTAAGATGATTCGAAAATTCATTTACAAATAATTCTGGATAACAAAGTTGCCTTTTGGTGTAAGAAATGAAAACGGAATGTTGATGAGATTAATTCAAAATTTCACGGAATGCGCAATTAAAATCACGATAACTAATTGAATTGAAAAATTGAAAACAAAACAAAATAAAGCTCAAAAGCTGGGTCGGAAATTCTAACCTCAAAATGTCATGCTCTGAAGGTTAGAACCTGATTGGCTAGTTCGATTTTTGCTTTTTTAGAGCGCGGTAAAATTTGAACAGATCTATGAAATAAACGCTGAATCACGCCACGAAATCCGTCATTTGATAAAACTATATGTACGTACTTACAAAAGTCGAGGACGTACAATGGATTATCCATAGCTATTTGTGATCATTCTTCTCATATTCTACTTTATCATAATCCAGTTCATGTATCAAACATTTTTGTTGCCATGCAGATCTTTCAAGTTTTTGCATTTGAGGGCGAAAGTTCATGGTGTTGTTTTAAATTACCAAGGACAGTTTATTTTTATGCAGACGGATGAACTAAACTTCTTAAGAAAAAAAATGAAGAGTTCTTCTTAAGACCAATCAAATCTGGTAAAATTTCAAGGAGATTCTCCCTAATTCACAGCGTAGTAGACAGTAAACACTTGAAATGTTGAAATAAAAAATTGCAGAATAAATGCAACTCGGCAATTCTAGAGAAATAAGATAGGATTAGCGTAACCTTTTAAGTTTTCTAATCTTTGGAGACTTACTTGAAGATTAATGATGTTAAATTGAGGATTTAGAGGGATGAGCAATTAATGCTGCTTATCGAAAAATCCCTGGCTTTCCTTGAAGATAAAGTTTATGTTGTAACTGAATCTGACTTACCAGTTTTTGTGCAAATAGACTTCAGTAAGCAATTTGATGATATTTTTGAAACTCCTGGTTCCATCTTGCTAAGTAATCATTGCAGTGAATGTTACAGCCTAAATGTGCTGCCAATTGTAGCAAAACACCTTTTGTATGACTTTTCTGGCATACAAAGAGAAGTTTGATTCAACATTGCAATTTTCTTGGACAATAGAATTATGTACCCTTTTGGGATAATGCTGTCATAGAATCCATGAGCGTTGGTAACTTATTGACAAAAATTACTTTTTCGGTGCAAAATCGGAGTTGGCGACATGTAACCGATCAGCCATTTTCAGTCCCTAAAAATCTCACATTCATTTTGAAATATAATTATAATTTTTCATGTTTTTTGACATTGAGAAATTCAGGGTCATCATTACTTTTGATTTATCACCACACTTTTCATTCGTTTTGCCATGGGTCATTTGTAAACCATAGTACCACAACTATTCCTTTTATTATGAACTCACTCCAGTACAAGTGGCATTTTCAAAACGAAAAGAAACAGCTATACAGCAATTTCTCATTTATGATATTTTTACGGTATGTTTTAAGAGGTTTTTCCTCTAGGATATTCTTAATAATTTTTTGTTCCTTCTTTTCATTCGAAGCTAAAAATGGACCTGTTGGAACACTTACTAAATGCATTTGGAATGCTGAGTTCACAATGAGGCAAAAAAGCAATTATGTACATATTGGACATTAGAGAGAGAACCCAGGCTTTCTTTCAATTTAACAATTTTTGAAAGTGAAAATAGATATTAGGATCAAAATAAGTTGCTTAGTTTTTTTTTTTTTTTTTTTTTTTTTTTTCATATTGTTCGACATGATAAAAAATAAAAATAATTAACACATCTATTGCAAAATTAGATGCTGTAAGCAATTAGACTATGTTTTCTCCGAAAACAAAGCAGGGACAATAGCTGGGATTTTTTTGTAAAAAAAAAAAACTGAGCCAGACCAGGAAGACAAAATGGATCTTAAAGAACTCAAATCATTTATTTTTAGGACTCAAAAATTCCATTATGATAGCTACACCCTGTTTTTTGAGAGTTTTCAACCCTTCAGAGCACTTTTTATTTTGATACGAGTGATCATTACTTGTTGACTTCTTACTTAATTTCATACACAGATACAGGTAGAAAGAAAAAACAGTCAGGCTTCAAAGTAAAATGGACTTTTAATTGAATTTAAAATTGATCAGATCAGCAAATGTAAGATAAAACTTTGTCAAAATCTCACCTACATAAAGAAAAAAAATGATTGAAAAAAATTATAAGAGAAGATTTCTCAGCCAAAGAGTGTAGTTTGGGAAATGAAGAAGAAAAATTCACACGCAAAATTTCTAAGGTGCCTCTTGGAGCCTGAGGTTTCATTTAAATGAGGATTGAAAAAATCGTTCAGTTTCATCTAGTACAAACGGAAAGATAAAAAATAAAATCAAAACAAAAATTAAGAATTAAATTGCAACTCAATCCGAAAGAATTATTTGCAACTTCTACAAAGTTTCAATGAAAGGGTTCATCCCAAGGTTGGATTTCCGTAGAACAAAAGAATGATCCCATTGACAAGTCTTAACAACTCATAGATCGGTGATATCAAATCAATAAGAACTGCCACTGCTACTATACCAACTTCAAAAGAGGGAACCATTCATTACCAACAGCTGTAAAATTCATTTTCAAACTATATTTTTTTACATCAACACTAAACAGTCCTGAATCTAGAAACTGTCAGCAATTTGTCATCATAGGATGAGAATTGATCAATGAAACGTTGAAACTAATCTGTTTTGAAGTTTCTTCCAATGTCTCTAAGACATCAGATCGTTTGCTGCATTTGTATAAGATAATTAGGATAAACGACTTTTTCAAATGATTGATAACTGAAATTCTGCGTCTAAATGGAGGGTTCACTTTTTTACATTAAAAAGAGGGCAAACAGAGAAGTTAAAGACATAAAGGAAAGGAAAACTGTACATTATGATGATACAAAATGATTCCCTAAATATGAATCACTTAGTTATTCCTCTAATAGATATACTCTACCTAAACTTGAAAAATGTATACATTCATACCACTTGTCAGATAGACATTGCATATTTTGATAACTCAAAGGAAACATTTTTGGTCATTACTTCACCTACTCATACTACCAATGTAAATTTCGTTCATTTTAATAATTACATAATAGCACAACTGACACACCAATAAACCCCTACGCTCATTCATGATCGCAACTGTAACCCATTCACTCATCCGATAAACTCTCTCTTAAATTATCCTCAGCTAGAAGGAAGGAAAAAAAAATTGTAACTATTATGATACAAAAAGATACAGAAATGGCTTGAATCTTATGTACATATTCAATCTTAAGAAAAAAGATCAGGTCTCTGGTGAGCATTTCCGGTGGGGATATTATTCGACACGAAGTTTCTTTGTTGCTAACGTCGGGCTCATGCCAGCATCACGTTTCTGGGCTGTTTTCGTCCCTGTTTGAGTTGATGCAATATCTAAAGGAACAGAAAACATGCGTATAATATTCTTCAGAGGCAAGGATAGAAGAAAAGTAAAGAATACAGGAAGCCAGTGTAAAAGGTCTTCAACAATTTCAGAAAAACTTTTGATTCCGACAAACGCTTAAGCGCATGGGAAGCTTTCAAAAAATTAATGTGAACAAATAAATCATCAGAATAACTAATAGGATTTACAATGACAGGAAAGCTGCGAATTTTTTGGCAAGAAAATAAAAAAGCTTCATAGGGTGACTAGTTTTCTTTGATTTCAAAATCCTCCAAATTTTCCATGACTTTATATCGATTTCATAAAAGTCCATAACTTTTTTAAGTTTTCTTGGAACAGCACGATTTCTCATGAAAATGGTTTCCACAAAGACAATTTGGCGTGAGGTCTCTTCAAACTGAGGAAATTCAAAATTCAAGAACTTAAAAGCAGAGACTACACTTGGTGATGATACCTATGGATAATTTAAAAACTTGGAGTGACAATTGCGGAGAGAGAATTCTCTCCTGTTTTCCATATTCTTGAACTAACTTACTTGCTTAGTCTTAGAAATCTAAAAATTGATGAATAAAATATGCATCAGATTAAAATATAAATCACACAGGCCTGAAGGATTAAATCTTGATTCAAATCTTACCTTGCAGCCACCTAACTTGAGTAGCTGGTCCGTAGCCTTTGTCATTTTTCGCTGCAATTCGGAAGATGATTGCAGGTTTTGTAGTCGTGTCAATATGAGCCGCAGATAAAGAGGAGTTAGGAACAACTGCTTGATTGTTTGGGCCACAATAAACACGAACAAATGAGAGTTGCGGAGGAGGTGCTTTCACTTTGGGATCAGTCTGAAACCGTACAAGAGTAAGAAAGATTACCTTAGGCAAACAGAATAAAGCCAGTTACTAAATAAAAGATTAACATGGATGAGAAGCATTTAAAGCCATAGAATCGTAAGAGCAACAATTTACTTGTTAACTTGTAACAGGATTCAAAATTAAAGTACAAAATGATGACTTCATCAGTATGTTTGCACCGTTAACACTGATAATTAGAATAAGCTCTTCAAGTTTGTTGAAATTTCACATTAAAAAAAAAGGTTTTAAAATGTTTCACTCTGATTCTATAAGTTACAGCCGTTTCCCAAATTTTAAAGGGACGGCAATAACATAACAAAATATAAAATCACATGTATTTTTTCCGAACTCACCGATGTTATTTGTAAACATGTATATCTTGTTTAAGAGTTGATTTCCAGACTTGCCGTTCTGTGATTTGTTCTCCATATGCGATTTTGAAGAGGAAATACGTAGGGTAGGGCTTTGATTCATATTTAGTAATGTGGCCCATAAAAAAATAAAAATAAAGGCAAGTAATTTTTCGGGAAAAAAGATAACCCACCTGAGGAGGCTGATTGCTCTTGATTGCCAGACAGACCGCGTATTCAATAATTTTTCCACAAGTGGAGGATGGAGGTTCCCAAGATAAATGGACACCATCAGAGGATCTTGAAATTTTAATTGCAGACGGAGCACCTGGGTAACCAGGTAAACAGGTTTTGAATGCCGACATCTGAAAACATAATTCGACACCAAACTTTAAATACCAGGGTCAAACAAAAAACTCCCGTGTAACCCACAAACGCCAACAGTGGTCTGTTCTGCTCGCATCATCAAGAAGCCCCTGACGGATATGCAATTTCCGTAAGTTTCAAAAATAATCCGCACCGTGATTTTCGAGCGTTGAAATCAGGAAAAAAGGTGCGGGTGTACCCGATATCATTAAAGAATCGATAGCTAAATATCAATCTATTGACAACTGCCAAAGTACCTAAAACATACTCTTCTTTTAATTTCTTGTAAGAGTACACTAGCCTCCCAAAAGTTTAAAGATTTATAATGGATTATGATGGATTTTTTTTTGTACATGGAATTTTTCAAATATTTCAGCAAGCTTTCAAATTTTCCTGTTAAAGCTTTTTTGGGAGACAACTACTTCTTATTTATTTATTTTTTTTTAGCAACTGAAAGGGGGAACTTTCTGAATGAACTTGTTCATCAATTTTCAATTCTTGCAATTTTAAAAAGGTATGAACGCTTTCAGTTCACAGGGGCTTTCACAAATCTTATTGATCGATATACAGGAGAAACAAGTTCAAAGTAAACAAAATAATAAAATAAGGCCAAAAAAGAAATCACCGCACCTCACTCCAAGGGCCACGGCCACAGGTATTCAGAGCAGCCACTCTGAACTTATAGGCAGTTCCTGGTTCCAAAGTCAACTGCCGAATATTGGCGTAATTTGGAAGATCTTCTGCCGTCAATTCGTTATGTTCGTTGGTGAAATTTGTCTGGAAGAATTTGGTAACAATGCATGATGTGCCGCTTATTATCCCCACATCGCACCAAGGGTTTGCTTCGGTTTTTGGAACTGCTGGTGTTGATTCCGTCTCCTTTGTATCAGCGGTTGGATCCTGCAGGATGAAAACTGTGTTTAGTAGATGGAAGAATAAAACAGTATCCACTAAGTTTACTCAGATGATGCAGCAAATATTGAATCTTTGCTGCTTTGCAGCTCTGAAATGAGAAGTTTGGCTTAAAGTTAGCTTTGGAAACTCTCTAAAGATAGCATCATCAGCTTAAATTTTTTGGATGATTAAATTTCTTCAAATACTTTCGTTTGAGTTCTACTTAGCATTAAAGATGGTTTAATTACTTTTCTTACACCATTTTACACCAACTTAAGTGAAACATCTACAAGTAATAGTTCAAGAGGTATAAAACTTACTGCAGGCTCAGATTTATTGATTCCATTAGAGCGAGCTTCACACCCCAAGGCTGCTGATGCCAATGTTGCTAAGGCATCTGTCGCGATTCCTGTGTCCTATCGTAAGAGGCAAATAAGAGATCTTAGAATTTGTCATAGAGGAGTTAATTTTTTTAAAAACAAAACAAAAAAAAAAGTTGATAGAGATGTCTCTGGAACAGACTACATAATAACAACAACCAACAAAAAGAGGTACATATTTGTCATTACTCTGCCCTCAGAAATACATACAAATCATATTGTATCAAGTTTGAACCAAGAATAAGAAGTTCTCAGTTTTAAATATTGCTCCAAACTTAATGTCAAAAACAAAGTTTAACGACTATTTCCATGTTCAAAATGATTTCTTTCGACATTGAATTTTTGACAAGAGGAAGTTTGCCAGTCATCAAAGTCAAAACTACTTTCAACTCGTTTTTGTTTTCAAAAATGCAAATTGGTGCGTTTCTGTGGAACTTGGTTTATGTTATACTGTGTGGTTTCAATCCCATTACTGCTGGTTGTATCGATTTTTTTCAAGTAAGCCATTATTTAAACCAGAGTTTCGGCTTCCACGCTTATTTGAGAATTTTTTCCAAAATCATGGAAACCTCAATGTTTTGGAAGAGGTCACTTGCCTCCTGCAATTATCAGAGGCTTTGACTCCTTCCATTATCATATCAATGGGCAAGAGGATTAAAAAGTCATTTATTTCACAAACTTTTGAGTTTAGAAAATAATAACACGTTTTTCAACCATTATATGCTTTCATGTATAAAGTTCGATGAGTAATTTTACCAATTGAGGAAGACGAAAGTAGCTACTCACATCCAGTTTACTTGATTTGATTTCTGGTTTATCATAAAAGACAGGCTTGTCGAAGAATTCCGGTTGATCCTGTCCTGTCCCTTGAACCTTGTTCAGGGCTGAAGAGTCTTCGCCGATAGCTGACTTGTCTAAGCAGGCAAGTAAAAGGAAACAGATATGAGTTGGCGAGAGGGGATATTCATTACTCAAAAGGGATGTCAGTGAGACTGAAATTCTTTGAGCCTTCAGTCTCTGACATTCTCTGACTTACGCCTAACAAAAAAAAAGACTTTTCTAACCTTATGACAGGATGAAATTGTCATGCATCTTCCTGCTAAGTTTTAAGATAAGTATGCTGAACACTAGAAATGGGATGCAGATGATTTTTTTTTCATTCTAACATGTGTCACAAAAAAGAAAGCCACTTTGAGGACAATACTTGCATTTTCTTATGAAGGAGTAGAACTTTTTTGACTATTAGCTGAATAGTTTATATGAGCTTCATTCGTAAAGCTTAAAAGTTGAAATTTTATCATCGCAAGGCTGCCAAGGTAACTTCGAAGAGGGTAATCTAGCACGGGTCAAGGGGATTTACAAATAAAAAATTCTGGAAAGGAGTGATCTTGAAGCTAGTCATCTTAGTTCCAATGATTCAATTTTAAACGGATGCGTAACCTTATAGTATTTGCACCATGGTGATAAAATGCTCCCAATTTTTTCTTTCCGTCGACATTCCTCGAGTTAGATAAATGAATCATTACTTGATTTATGATGACTCGTTAATGAGACAGTTTTAATTAATATACACAATTGATTCACATAGAATTTAGATGTGGAGTTATGCCTCATTGTTTTGGTTTGAGCCATTCACAGGAATGGCGTAGCAACAATGTCAGTCTATGAGCTTATCGTTTCGAAACATTGATGTTGTATGGTGTTTTCAAGTATTTTGATTCACCAAAATTTGAGATGAAGGTTAACAGCGTTTCGAGCTTTGGGGTCACTTTTGCTTTGAAAGACCAGTCTTCTTAAAGTGATTATGATTACAAAAAAATTGCGCTTACCTTCATTTCCCTGACTAGAATTCTTCTGCACCACTTCTGGCGGCTCTTCTTTTAGTACAGGTTTCACTCCATCGTTTGAGAGTGCTGCCTCTGCTTCCTCTTTGATTGCTGCTAAAAGCGCTAATTCTTCAGAGTGATCGGCATCCTTAGCATCTTCATTCAGATCGTCTTGATTCAGCGTAATTCTCTCACTTTCATTGCCTTCTTCCGATGCTGTTCCTCCTTGTTTTGCATCCAACAAATCGGATAAACTGACAATTATTGCATCATTGTCATCTTGCTGACCAGTTTTGTCGCCACTTTCTTCTTCTGTTGGAGTTTCTGCGGCAGGGGCATCGCCTGAACCTACCTCGCTTGCTTCCATTGTCGTTTCATTAGTCTCGCCTAAACCTGATGCAAAAAGTTCTGACTGTGATAACTCTTCAGCGTTTGATGGTTCATTTGATGTGGCTCCCAGTTCTTCCTGACTGAGTTCATCAAGGACACCTTGGGCTTCGGCCTCCGCTAGTTTTAATTCATCGACTGGGTCTTGACTGGTTTCGTCACCCTGTTCTTCAGGACAAACTTCAGTTGACTCACTGTAATCTGCTGTGTTTTCATCACCTGAGTAACAATAGTGAAATTAAAATTTATGAGTTTGATATAAAAGACTAATATAAAGAATGTGAATTGAACTGATAGAATGACTTTAAAACAATCTTCATCATAAAAAGTTTGAATTTGTGGATTAAAATTAAGCATTTGATAGGTGAAACTAAAAATTAATTAAAATTCAATTTCTGAAAAATTAAAGTTAACGGACAGGTAAACTCAAAGATAAAAATTAGTCATAGGCAAATGTTTTAATCTTAAAAATTTTGTATCAAGGATGATTGAAAATAAAGGAGAGTTAAAGATCTCATCATCTTTTTTTCCTCTGCATTTTTAGGCTTTTGAATGCAAACCAAAATCGGCCTTCAGACACATGTTTAGGCCAGTATTAGACCCAAAATGATGTGTTTCATCAAATACAGACCTTTAATAAGCAAAAGATTGTAGAGTTGAAGAAATTCAGAGTGCCCTTAAAAGTGGGCCTTTCAATAACTCCTAAGATTTTGTGATTGAGAAAACGATGTCATTTTCAGCTACATATCTTATACCAGTGACAAAAGTAAAAAAAGATACATATTGCCAGATACCTGTAGTTCCGCCAAACTGAGAGACGTTTGAATCAGCAGTATCTGCATCAACATCAGCATCTCTTTCACTCAAAAACTCATCACCCTCTTCTTCCATTTTAAGTTGCATTTCAGATTCCTCTTCTTCTTCACCTTCAACATGTGCTGCAGTATCTTTTTGCTCCAACTCTGCAAGTGGAAAGAAAAAGACATGCCGATTGAAACAAAAAAACATAACAATAAATTGAGAAACTAGATTTTTAACAACTTTGTTTCTTATTTTCTTAGCTAAAACTTCTTGAAAAGATCGACAAAAAAGCATATCAACAACGAAATTGCAAACATGCATACCTCAGTTGCCGTGTTTCAAAATCTCCGCTCCTGTTTGATTTTTTAAAAGGAGACTGAAGCAACATAATGGCTTAAAATTTTGACAGAATATATTTTACATTGTGAATAAAAATCTCTGAAGTTTTTGAAAAATGACATTGAAAAGTTTGCCATGTACAAAATGAAGTATGACAGGAAGTCACCTGCTGGGTCTTTTATGCTTTCCCCGTATAATAGACACCCTGTACTCAACACAGTTGTTGTGTACCTGTGAGAAAATAGTTAATACCTGCTAATAAGTAAGTAAGTAAGTAAGTAAGTAAGTAAGGCCGGGCTGGCCGGCGAGGCGCCCTCAAGAGGCCAAGGCAACTGGCAACTGCCGTCGTGCACCCCGAAGTCGGACCGTGCTCCTTAACATATCTTCGTACTATTGACACATTGTGTATCCTTTATATTCCCGCAAGGCTCAGCGGCCGTCTGATAGCCAACGGAAGGCCTTATCAAAGACTGTGGCAGACACTGCAGAGCATGGGCTTTCGGAGCACGGGCTTTCGGAGCACGGCCATGCCTCCACCGAGTTGGACTGTGTTGTTGCAATCTACATTGATAGGTAGCGCTGGCAGTCGCGCACACTATGAGTGATTACCGATTTTTCACAACCCAGTCGAACAGTGCAGACGGATTACTTACTGGGTGACTATGTCCCTCCCGCACCCTGTTACCTCGAAGGGTCAGGAATACCTGCTAATAAAGCTTCTTGGGCTGTGGAGTCAATGGAATTTTCACCCTCAACGCCGGAATCTTCCGCTCCTTGTTCATTACTTAAAGCTAGCAAGGATTCAGCAGAGATGCCTTCAGCATTACTATCGGCACCTGTTTCTTCTAGAGCTGATTCCGCTAATTCAGTTAACTGATCCATCTGAGAAATTCAAAAGCGACTCATTAAAATAACGACAGATGAGTTCCAACAGAAGGGGAAACAAAACCCAAAGGAAATTGTACATTCATTGAAACAAATTCATGAAATTTTTCCTCCAAGAAAAACCACTACAGAATAAACAAAAAATAATCGTTGAGAAAGTGGAATCTGTCATTGAACCCTGTCAGTTTGTCAGGCCATACAAAATAAATGTAGAATTAGATTTAACAACAAGCCTTATGCAGGGATAAAACTTTGAACCTCTATATCTTCATTCAATCTTACCATGACTTGGTTCTTCCTGGTTAAACAACCCATTATATGACTTGAGCCTCACAATAGATGTATTGTCTGGTTGAACCATATACTTAAAATACAATCTAGACTGCGCACTAGGCCTGACTGTAAGCGGGAGAGGCGAGACAGCAAGGGAGGTAAAGACGCACCTTCACCTGAGTTGATACAGCCTAATATACATGTAGTACCACATAACCCCCCTAATAAAGGTGTGGCCACTCAGTTGTTTCGCCTGAGGGTGCCTTGGGTAAATTGTCTGGTGCTACATACAATCCGGGCTGCCTGCTTATCGTCTCGCCGAAAGATTCTAATGCTGGGTCTAGATTGTGTTGTATATTTTTGGGTTGAACATACATAACATTTGGTTCTACTGTCTAAGTACTGACTGAAACTCAACAATCCTATCGACCTCTAGAGATCATTTCAGTGGTCAGCATGCAAGTCATGTTATTCAGACGGGGATAAAAAATGCCAAAGAATTGACATTTGGTACATGATTGGACATATTCCTGCCAAACAGAACTATGTGTATTATGACGTTAGCCCTGTTGGGCATATAATCTTGCAGGTCTCAGGGCTGATGTCTTAATGCACATAGTTCTGTTTGACAGAAATGTGTCCAATTTTGTTTCCAATCAGTTCCCACCAGTCAACTTCTACAACAAACCTTGCGTGACGCTGCACCTTGTTTGATGACAAGGGTTTGAAGATGGGAGGGACAATGGATAATTCTCAAAGATAATATGATAATTAAAATATCTAGTGCAGGAGCTAAATATTGTTTTACTAGTCCCAACACTGTACGTTAGTTGTTCCATTCAATTTCTCAGTGAAATAACCTCACTTACCTTAGCTTCAGTTGTTTATTAACAAGGTAGAGAGAATACAATCTCACTGAAACATCACTTCTGAAGATTGAAATGAAAGAATGTCGCACTAAAATGATCAATCTGCAGAAAAAATTAAAATTCTGATGATAACAGTATTTCAAAAAGGGCAAAAAGTTTGAACCGAAGACTTTTCTTTTTCGGCATGTGTAAACACAAAAATAGGCTGACGCTTCGATCAAATCAGCGCTACTAGCGGCTGAAAAAAGAAGCACGGGAGAGCGCGGGAAACCGAAAGCGGTAACTTTGAATTGGAGAGTTTTCAGCGAGAAAAGGCCCAACGTCATGGGCCGCGGGGGGAGAGACTTCCGGTTACATTCCTCTTTAAGGCTCATTTATGTGTTTTTGTAATACTACCTGTCAAATTAAGAAAATCTAATCTTTTTCAAAAATGTTTGTGCACTCAAAGAGTTTCCAGATCTATGAAATTCTCTAAATATTTTCACTTAGGTATTTCATGATCAAAGACTGAAATTCAAATTTTATGAAATTGTCTCTCCGGATCATCTTTAAGCTTCCCTATAAAAAATTCTCAATTGATCTAACATCTAAAGGCCCCCCCCCCCCCCCCCCCCCGTTTGCTGTAAAATCAGTCTTAAAATCCAAAGTCCTTGGTCTTGATCGAGTTCTTCAAATAGGTTGCTACCTGTAACACATCTGTTACCAACATCATCATTTGTAACACTTTTAGGGGCAGCTACAAAACATGATTTTGGACTAAAACAGAGCGCCGACAGATTTCAATATTGCTTAATAATAATATTGGCATTACTTTATATTAATAGTTTAACAAGTATTTTGTGGAGTTATTTTAGAGAAATTCTAATAAGAAAACCTGAAATCTTTTATGAAAATCCCTTTGTTAAACTTCACTCAGATATCAATGCATACACCACTACCAAATTTTAACCCTCGTGTTCTGCAATAGCTTGGTCTGAACATAATTTCATAAGAAATAGGATCATATGACCTGATTTAGTGGCAACTCCATTCTTGCTACAGTCAAAATAATGATATAAAATGGTTTCAGCCACAATGATAGAACGTACCTTCGAGTTCAAATTCTGCATTGAGTTTATTGTGGAGATTCATTATGATTTTGTCGGTGACAAATCATAAATCAATTAATGACTCTTTAAACAAGAGTAGTTTTGATTACAAGAACCGTTCAGACGCTTTCCACCACTCTCGCATAAAGATCATGTGTCTCTTTACAATGGGGCTATCGAAAAACGATATACATCAAGTGACAAAGCCACAAAATCAATTTATTATATAAAACCTTCCAGGAAAAGAGCATAGGCATTGTTCATTTTACGTAGGAAACTTTTAAAACTTTACTTCATTCCTTGCAATCAAAACTTTTTCTTGAAATTGAACTGAGGAATCGATTTTTTTTATTTTTTTATTTTTTTTTTTTTAAAAAAAAAAGGATGTTAAAATTTTAGGTATTGGAGAGTTTAGGCACTCGAATGAGAAATAAATTATTCCATTAACATTGATGATTAAAATTTTACTTGGTACATTTCAATTTTTTTTACACAATATAGAAAAAAATAAAGAGAGAATTGTAATACAATGCTGAGAACAGAATAAACAGAAACAAACTAACGAATGTACAGTAAGTAACAAAAAGAATTTGAGGAGGTGTAACATAGCAACTTGATTGGCCCATCTAGGCAAGACAAGTTTGACTCTTGGTTGGATGATATTCGAAGGAGTAAAAAACTAGCATTAAAATGAAGGATATAGACAGCAGTATAGAGAAAAAGTTGCCCACCAGGTAACCCGCACAGCTTCTTCCAATTTAACACAGCCGAGAATTGTCGTGTAGGTTATCTGTGAGCACCTATAATAATTGTTTTTTTCAAAGGCAATACAAGAAACAACCCCAAAGCACATCTAATAATTAAAAATATTTTTCTAGTGTAACCTGCCTTATGTTTTCTCTACACCCCGACCACTAAAGGTAGAGGTGTGAGGAATAAGATTTTCAAAACCGAAACAAGTAGATACTGATTTCTTGCATTCTTTGTACTTCTCGTACATTTTCTTAACACTACTACATACATAACATTTCTGCAATCCTGCTATGGACGGCAGTAATTCAAGCATAATACTGAGACCATAAAAGATACTTAAACTGACTTGCGCGTATTTGACTAGCCAGCGAAACGCTTCCTGTGGTCAAATTTTACGCACAAGTCAGTTTAAGTATTTTTTATGATCTGTTTTCTTGTGCGGGCCTCCAAAAATTTTTTGATAATACTGAGATGCTAGACCCTTGACTTGGCACCCAAATAAGGTTTCCTCGGTGTAATTTGGATTTGAAGAAGCACATAATCTCACTGTTTCACTGATGACCCGAGAGGATTCTTAAAAGGTGAAAAAATATCAACTTATGGCTCTTAAAACTTGAACTGAGATGTCTCAGTATGAATTAATTACTCATTACATATATAGTGAATACTCAAGCATAATGGGTTTCGGAAAAAAATCTTGACTTAACTTTCGAGACTGCCTGAGATTTTCCAGGAGCTTAAAATCTACGCAAAACTTTACACAAACTGTGTTCTACCTTTGAATTTTATTTCACTTCAAATTTTCTTAGTGTGATTTAAAATGAGGAAATTAAAACCAGAACAATTTTAAAGAGAAAGTTAGTGAACAAAGAAGACGGGAGAGGTGGAGATAGAAAAATACACTCTCAACTGTGAAAAGTATATAAAAAATATATATCCAGTTTATCATAGGTCTATTTAATTATGAGATAAATATATCTACCATTTGCACCGAGGTTAACAGAAACACACCAAGTTGCATTCAGTTTGAGCTGAGAAAAAGAGGCTTGAAGTTTTATTCTGCCGTAAGACTCAATGCTGGGGACTAATTGTAAGTTAAACAATTTTCATGTTCAAAATATTTTTCTCGATTCTGTATTTTTGACAGGAGAAAATTTAAAACTTGTTGAATTCTAAACCACTCCCATCTCATTTCTTGATTCCAAAACGGAACTTAGTACGTATCTGTTAACCTCAGTTCATTTTATCAATCTAGATTCATTTCCATGAAATGAAAAGAAACTTAGGTCAGTCTTAATAGTGAATTAAAATCATTATAGAAACAAGAATTTTGAATGAGCTCAGGCCTGTAGGGGGTCTTTAGACATGTTAGCCACTAGCATGTTGCAAGTGACTTTTTGCTGACACCTCCCTTCATTGGTCATTTTTACCAGCATCAGCATCCCCTCCTCCCAAACTTTTTTACACCAAAACTTTGACACTTTATGGTATGTCTGACCATACCGCATAGGGAGCCTTGATGGTTTAATTGATTCTTGACCAAATGGCACTAGGCAAACCTGTAGAAACTATCGTTCGAAGACTTTACCTGGACGTATTTCTACCAAACAGACCTATGTGGAGGTGAGGAATATGGGGTGTGCTCTAGAAAGCTGCATAAGAAGCAATGTAAAAGTGGGCGTGATTCCTTTTGAAGAATTGGAAAAGCGGGATTTTACATTCTATCAAACAGACCTATGTGCAACTGAATGCGGAACTCATGAGCCGCGGGCATGGCAAGAGAGCCTTGTGCACAGGGCTCACGAGTTAAAGCGCCCCGACGACGATCCTCCCGATGCGCCCCCGCTTTTTCATTGCCGCTGACGTCACTGGCGCTTTATTATTCCCATCCACTCTTACGGCCAGAGAACTAACGAGCACACCCCATATTTCTCACCTCCACATAGGTCTGTTTGGTAGAAATACGTCCACCTGATCATTGTGATTCGACTTTCTTGTGATGCGAGTTGTAACAGTCAAAACTACCTATTATGAAATACGTAAAGACTTCATTTTATAGTAAGAGCCTACAAAAACGGACCCTTCTAACTTTTTAGGCATTTGGACAAATACATTTTTCTGATCAATACTGTTGCTAGAAGACTGAGAAAACTTTTTTATCAATTACTGATGGGTAATGTGATATAATTTGCAACTTGATAAGATTTTCTACCTAATTTTTTAGTTCTAGATGTAACTAGATGTCAATTTTTAGCTGAGCGAAAATGAGAAACCAAATGGAAGTCTTGGAAAACTTAAACCAGGATTAAATGATTTTTTGAACCAAAGACAATTTTCTTGATAACTTTCTTCTCAGCTTAGGGATAATATTAGATCCGTCTTAATAGGTTTTCAAGGGGAAACAGATGTTACTTCCCTTATAAAATTGACTGTTCAATTTAAACTTAAAAAAAAGGTAAAAAATTATTGACATGCACAAGTTAGGACGACCTTTTTGTTCCTTCTTTGGAAAAAAAGGGGTATTCAATAAGGGTCGTTTATAAGCAGCCAAACTCTAGCTAAGTTCCCTCAAATCTACCATTTTTTGCTCATTGAAGGTTTGAATTTAACAGAATGTATCATAATTTGGTCATTTTTTAACTCTTTTTCAGTTTAAACTGGCCTAAATATGGGTCTGAAAATATTTAAGCGAGAAATGCGATTTTTACGAGTTTGCAGTTGAATTCTGAATATTCCGCATTTTTTGCCAAAATTGGCATGAAGACCCATGTTCGTGAGAGTATTAGACCAAAAAAGAGACTGGAAACGACTAAATCATGATGCATTCCATGAATATAGAAAAATATTGTTGAGTTGATGAAATTTGGCTATGGTTGGCTCAAAAACGGCTCTTATCGATACCCCTCTTTCGTGATTGCAGTAACATTAAACTGTGAATAATGAAGTTTTCAGTGGCTGGGACTAGCAAAATACTTTCTCAGAACAGACCAAGTCTTTAAATACAAAATCTGATTGATGCACCCAATTTCTTAGATCCAGTAACTCTTTGCAAAACATGTCCGGCCCACCAATTCAAATTGAAAATTCGATTTCTTCCCGATCGCTAAATTAGCTAAATTTTGCTGGGACTAACCTTTGGCTGTTCAAGTAGGTCATACAAGTTCTTTTTTTAAAAGCATTCATGCCTTTAGAGACAAGTCATGTTGTCTCTATTTGTAAGGAAATGATTTATTTACTGTTTTGTTCTAAAAATGATTAGAAAATAGTCCCCCACAACTAGCCCAAGAGATTTTTCGATATTTTTTTTAATTTTCTAAGATTTTTTTTTTTTTTTTTTTTTTTTCAAAAAAAAAGGAGAAAAAAAGTGACAAAATTTTATTGATACCTCTCAATACTGGTGAAAATAAACCAAGATTTTATAGGACTGGCAAACTTTGGGTCCTTCAGTGATTCCCTACTAAGTATTGGACAGGTCTAAAGAATTAAGTTACAAAGGCTATGTTAGGTTCTTCCTTAACCATAATTGTGAAGCATTAAAAGATTGATTCAAAGAGGATAAATGGGGTTTGGGGGGCTTGAAAATAGTTTCATCCAATTTGTAGGAATCACTTTAAAATATGACAGTTTAATTGGGTTTAAAAATTCCCCGGCTTTCTCTAAAAAAAAATAGTGATCCAATGATCTTCAAAATCCCGTACATTCATTTACTGGTTACACCAGAAAGAATATCATCACATTTTCTTATAAATGCAATTTGCGCCTGGCTCATAATTTGGATAATACTAGAAGAATATCACATACCAATGACAGAGGTATTTGAATTTACTAACTACAACAACTGAATTTACTAGTTGGTTCTGGGACAGCTTCTTCATCATCGACAACGACCACGTTTCTGCGTAGGCTACCGCTTCTGTTAAGTATTCCGGCTTTTGCTATTTCTTTTTCTGCAGCATGTTCAATCATGAGTCGTGTCAATTCTAAGAACATTTCTTCTATTCCTTTGTTCAACTTGGCTGAAGTGTGAAAATGTTTAGCACCAACAGACATTGCATATCTAAATAATGAAATTAAGGATTAGATTAAAAGGTTTCAGTTTCGTAACTCTGAAAGGGAAAAAAACTGGACGCTGAAAAATTTTACTTTCACCAACTCCACACCAAAAATTAACATTTCAGCTTGGTATTTTTTCTTTTTTTTTTGAAACAAAATAAAATCCTTTTTTTTATTATAAACAAAAAAGGCTTCTACTTTGTTCATTTTGTGAGTAAAGATTATCAATTTAAATTTTACACATTTTTGCTTTGCATTTTGAGTCATAAGTTCTAATCTTCACCATGTAAAATATACTGATGTTAAAGTAAACTTTTCTCAGGTTCTGCTAGACCGATTTGTTTTTTGGTTGAAAAAAATGACTCATAATTCCCCTTAAAAGCAATAAACTTTAAAATTTGTTATTGATGTCAGCTCTTGATACTTGATCCAATATCATATCTGTACCACACCATTTATCTAAATCTACACTATTTCAAGTAATGTTGATAGAGATAATGACATAAACTTACGCTTCTGCTTCTTGAACAGTAACAGTCCTTTGTTTTTCTAGATCAATTTTGTTACCAGCTATTATCAGTCGAATATCATCACCAAGCATTTTTTTCAGTTCTTTCACCCAGTTCTTGACCTGAATCATGGAAACAAAACGCTATATACAAACGTTCACTGTTGTTCGAGTAATGAATTGTGAACTTAGTACGCTTAATTCACAAAAACAGCCATAGGTGAGCAAAGCAAAACAGACTGTTAAAGAGACGTAAAGGTGCCAATTTTAAAAGACACAATAGAGTTCGAAATAGCTGACCCTCTATTGTCTGACACCTCAAGTATCTGCGGGACATCCACCACCACATCCAACACCTTCTCTCTCACTTTTGAGCCTGTATCATATGATCTATCATAAGATTGGCTGGAATCTTGAGGAGAGAATGTGTCAAAAATGAACAAGTCCGAGAGATAATGGGTGTTGAGGGGACGATTGTGCATGATATCATGACCAAGCAATTGGTATGGTATGGGCATGTGCAGCGAATGGCTGATACCAGTTTGCCAAAGAAGGTGTTGGGGTGGGTCCCCCCAGGTAGGTGACGGAGACGGCATCCAGCCAAACGGTGGGTAGAGGGCATCCGTTAAGAGATGGAGAGATGCCAGCTTTCGGATGATCTCTACCATGACAGATTCCTGTGGCGGGTAGGTGTCGCAGAGCGCCCTAGCGCGCCGTACAAGTGGCTTATACATACATACATCATATGATCTTAGTAGAGGTCTCAAAGTGGCGTCATTTGACCCCACAAAATGCTACTTTGAGAGCTCTACTTTGATTGTATGATACATGCTTTGACCTAAAGATTCAACTCAGGGTTGCCACAGGATTTAGAAAATGGAATTCCGTGATTTCCTTGACACATTTTGGTAAAATTCCTTAACAATGGACCACTAGACAAGGTACGAATTTCAGCATTCTGATACATGTTTCTTAACCAAAACTTCACGTAGAACACAATGCACACAACAAAAATTACCGAAATCAACTCCTTACAAAGATATTTCATGATTCCTGATGCGTGAATTCAAACCACCAGCTCAGTAAAACTCAATGCTCTACGTGATTCACATCGCGCGCTGAACATAATCATGAAAGTCTCTGCGATATAAAAATCTGACAACCTCAATTTTGACGCTTTGGCTCAGCTATAGCAAATTGCTTATAATTTGAACAACACATGGTGGGAAATGAACGGTGTTCGATTGAGAGGCTTGCTGAAACTGTTATTGCGCGATTTGACTCACGTACTTAGAGCTTTGAGTTTCTTGTGAGCGGGCAGTTCAAAATCCGCGTAACCAATGTGAAATAAAAAGGTTAATATCTTCGTCAGGAGTTGGTTTCAGTAATTTCCGTTGTGCGAATCGTGTTTTACGTGAAATTCTGGTTAAAAAACATGTATCAGAATCCTTTAACTCGTACCGTGTCTAGTGGTCCATTGAGGATATGCCAGATGGTTAAAAAGACATGATTTGAAATAGTTTTCAGATAAAATTTGTGGTTTAAAATGCCAAACCCTTTCTAAAAGGCGAGTAAACATGTCATAAAAAATGTTTCCTCATGCTTTCGTCATTTGTCCTGACATTCCCTGACTGTGGCAACCATGTATGACTACCATTGCCTTTATTTCTAAGGTTTTTGCAAGTGGGAATATCTGCCAGAATAACTTAAGCTGTACCACACTTCAAGATTGTTCTGCTTCTAGGTACAACTTAATAAGAAATTCTAGAACTGAGATGTAAGGACATTGAGAGTGCTAAAAAAATAAAATTGGCTGGAAACAATTACCTTTTGAAAAGAGTCTTCATCAGTGATATCATAAACTAAAATTGCTCCATTCGACATCCTGTAGTAAATAGGTCCAAGAGCATGAAATTTTTCTTGCCCTGCAGTGTCCCATATAGACAAATTTACTCGCTTTCCTGAGATGTTCAGTTTCTTTACTAAAAACGAGGCCTGCAAAATTGAAATTAAGATGAGAAACCAATCGCAAGTCTCTAATGGCAATATCTGAGAATTACGCTAGGATCTCGCGCAAACCACAGGCTGCAACATACTTGCATAGAGCAACAGAGCGCAGGACAAAAATTGAAATGAAGAATGACTACGTTTCAAAACATGTATGAGTAAGGAAGTACGTTTCTTAGCAAGGGGTCAGTTACAATTCTTTTTTTGTTGCTTGTGTCAAAAGAACCAAGGCTCCTAGATAGAAATATTCCCAATGTGATTTACCAACCAACACCCTTGAGACTGTTACAGGGTGATGTGTCCTAGGTTCTTGGTTCAGTCAAACTAACATGCAATATATCGCTATGATTAGTATTATACTCATTCACCAGCATGAAAATGGAAACCAATACAGGTAGCCATGCCAAGGACTGAATTTGGTTAATGGACCTGAGACTAGGCTGCAGCCCGATTGTTGAAACTTTAACTGGCTTTGTCGGCACGATAAGACAAGACATAGCCCTATCTGCGCCACGTAATATATCGATTTTCGATTCTTGTCGAGCCGACATAAATTTCAACAATCAGGCAGCTGCCAGTGATATCTCTAAATCAGAAACTCATCTCTCTCTAGAACTGGGGTGAGAAAAGATAGGACAAAAGTTACATCAACCTGTATGCGTTAATCATTAGTCGGCCCATCGGTTAGAGTTCTTGCCTAATACTTACGCACTTCTAAACTGCGACAGGAGATTGTCTGACATCACTTTCACAAGTGCAGTGAATGCATGAAGTAAGATTACGGATGTTCTGTCACAGTCTAAAGTGCACGAACTTATTTGGAGTGGACTAGAACACATATATTTTCATTTAATGGTACCATTTGTCCAATCTTATCTTTCCCCAGCTCCAGAATCGTTTGAGCGTTGCAGCCATAATACAGAATGGGTCCTGAGTGTACTCTGCAACTACAAATTGTTGTGCATTTTCATCCCAGCAGGTTATGATGCCGCGATTTTATCACGCATCAACAATAAAACTGCGAGCTAAATTGCTCTGACCAAGTTTTGAGCTCTTGAGCCGCTCACGATACCCATCGTGGATACCCATTGTATTTGATTTCGGTTTAGGTACTAGTAGCACCATCAAGACCAATCCACACAGGTCAGTCATTCCCGAGGACAAGTTTTGGAACTTTACTGCGCAGTGACATAGTATTGAGTGCCTGCAATGTATTTTATAAGGGAGCACCCAATGTGACGCAGCATTGAGTGCGGCCAAATTACGGCCGGGCGGGGGAGTAATTTTAAAAGATGCGCAATGACTGACCTGCGTAGATTGGTCTTGGGCACCATCAAGGAAACTGGAAGATCGTACAAAGCATTGGGCGCCAATCATATGAAAAGCGAAAATAAACATACGAACTAAGCCTCCTTGGCGGTTGTTAAAAGAGGCATTTATGTTATGTAAGAAAACAGGTTGCCTGCCCCTGCAAAAATTACATAACCTAAAATGCAAATGAATTTTCTCACCTGAAGGGTTTTGATGTGCTTGTCATTGAACTTGTCTTCGATGTACCTTAGAACAACTGAAGTTTTTCCGACTTTTCCTTCTCCGAGTAAAACTACTTTAAAATTGTAGTTGACACTGGAAGGAGTACTCATGCTTAGGAATTGATCAGCATTGAGTTACTCAAAAAAAATTTACCTCATCAGGTCACAACAAGAACAAAAGATTGGATAAAATTCCAAACTTCTAAGAATGAGACAAAAGATGAGGGATCATGAACTATTGAGACACGGTTGAAATTGGTAAATAATAAGATAACAAGGCGCTTACTGACACTTGACACTTTCAAGATTATGCTGAATTATTGCTGATAGCAGCATTGGCTTACAAGCACATTCCACAGCACTGGAAGCTCATCGAAATCCGACCAATCAAAACAAGCCTGAAGCTGAGTTCAGCCAATCAGCAAACGCAGTTTCTTCCGCTTACTTAACTACGTCATCAGAGCCCGCCAAAAATATCGTTTGAAACTTGTCCCAGTTGTGACACTCTCAAAACAGGGTTCTTAGCCATTTAGACCTTTTAAAATAATCCACAAAAAAAATTAAGTACCATATATCTATTACCTATGATGCGGCTTCTGTCAAATTTGTCATAATATCTTTCTTTGGATCCTAAAAAGGCTTAGTATTCTTTGAAAATTTGTGAGGGCGGTTCAATTTTTGAATCTTGAAGACTCCACTAAATCGTTGCTGGCAAGTATGGAAAAATTCTATTTTTCTATGCCACGACCATAATATAATTTAAGAGTTTATTGACCCTCATATAGTTATCCATAGAGCTCATAAATTGCAGTTCATTCTGATAACTGGGCATACACCCACATAGTTGGTCTTTCCGAGTTCAGCAGAACATCAGTGAAGCTTCAAAACCAGGAATCTTAGTTTCGGAAACCATAAAAATATTGGACTTAAGTCACAATTTGATTAGCAATGAAATGCTTAATAAAAATGAATGTACACAAATTCTCACTCCTTACACAAAATATTTTCTCAGGAATATGAATCATAAAACATGTTTTTAACAAGTATTCTGAAAATTATAAGGATGACAAGTTAAACTGAATACTTAACATTGTTCAGTCAAAAAGTGATGGGCTCAGAGAAAAGGACTGGTTGAGGGTTCCAATAACCTTAGCGATCTTATTATTTTTTTTTGGAGTTTTGTTGTGGGTAAAGTTCTTCTTCAAAAAAGAAAAATGATTTTGGGGACTACCTATCATCATCCATACTACCGGCGATTTCATGGCGACATGCATCCATGGCAAAAGTGCTAAACCTAGGATCTCAAATGCAGTGTTTCAAAATTTCTGCCCCTATTTTATTTTTTCGAAGAGGAACAAAGCCAGCTTCATAGCTTGAACATATGTAAAATATTCTGCTAATAAAGTAGAATAATCAATGAAGTTTTCGAGATATTACACTGACTAATTTCATGACTAATTTTTTCATAGAAAAACCGAAGTATGAGAGTCTGCAATGTCGCAAACGAAGAAAAGTGGTTTTACACTTTTGCTGAGAAGAATTCAATGATTTATCGTCGTGTACTTGGGATAGATGTGACCAAGATAGCCCAACTACATCAAACATTATGCAAACATTGCCTAATTGCCTCTCACATTTTACTTTTTTATCAGAGAACTACTCGAAGCTGACTTGAAAGCATGTGAGTTTATTGATGTCTAATTGTACACCTCAATAGCAACATTTGCAAGTCTCCATTTACGTTTCATTTTGTTTAAATAAAACCAAGCCAAATATTCTCTTGCTGTTTTGTGTTTTTTTTTTAGAAGGAGAGAAGAGGATTAAAAAAAAAAAAAAAAAGTCTAAAGAAACTGTTCGTTGGTTGGCCTTCAAAAAAATTAAACTTGATCAATAGGCATACAACGTTGAAATCTGAGATGGGCAACTATCGATTTTAGCCATCAAGATTCTTTATGATCTAGGGAAAATTCGCAGGAGGTGTTATGCTGTTTGGTTCTCTGTAAAAAAAAAATTGAAGAAGAAATGAGGCAGCGTGAAAGACAGTTAAGCTGAGTCTGGTGGCATTATTGACCATAATCCACACCCTTTAAAAAACGAGTCTAAAAACTCAAATTCGTTGTGGAGGAAAAAACGGTTTTGCGGTTCACCATTCACATCGAAATCGATGAGTAATGAATGTATTCATACTTGGTCATTTTATACAATGCATTTGAATATTTCCATTAAATAATCATTTGAATATCTGATACATTGAGGTAATGAATTTTTCTTCATTCCAGGTGTTCCTTTGAAACGAAAGTAAGTTTTTGACTTGTTTCGGATATATTCGGTCCGCATTTAACAGATAAAAACCAAGCCACATCAGCTATTGCCAAATTTGACTGGGCAATTCTATACTTTACAAGAGAACTTTAGTGCGGATTCTTTTGAAAATTTTATGGAATTTGCTTCGTACTACACAGAATAGTCACTGAAAGCACAAAAATCCACACGACCGTTTTCAAGTAAAAAATTAAACTTCCCAATTAAATTTGTCAATAGCTGATGTGGCTTGGTTCCTTTCTGCTTAAAGCGGTCCATTCCTTCTATTTAAACTTTAATCTTGTGCCTGGTTGTGATTGCCACTCCTACATGTTAACTTTTCAAAGAAATAAATTTCGAAATTTTAGTTCAAACTAATAATTCTGTCCTACTTAAAGATGAATCAGGGTAAAATGAAAAAAAGTTCAAGAATATCAGGTGATAAATCTGTATTTTTAATGATTCCATGGGACATCTGAAAAGGATGACTTATAATTAAATTTTGGAGGCCGAGGCATCTCCAGCAATTATACAAATAAGATGAAAGAGTAATGGTTAAAATAAAATCATTCATACAAGGCTGTATAAACTGAAATATATTGAATCGAATCCTTACAGACAAACACTGGCAATATCATTGAGAGAAGAATCGTGGTTCAAAATTGCAAAGTCAATTAGTAACGCCGAACGCGAGAGAAAAATGACAGTTCAAGAGGTAGACTGCTCCACAAACCAATACACGCTAAGCAAGACTTGACGGTAAGCCTGAGGCTAAAATTTTTAAATACTTCTTGAAACTTTTTTGACTGCAAACATCCTTGAGATTTCCTGAGATGAGTACCCTGAGTATGGCTTGGCTCACACAAGCAAACTGAGCGTATCAATCTAACAAGGTCGGATTGGTTCTGGCTGCAGGCGCCAAAAGCCTGGACTTTTAAGCCCATGCTCTATCCAAACAACGAGAATACCATATTCTAGCGAACAGAGGCGGCTCGTGTCAATTTGATGGTGGTAAGCTCTGATTGGTGAGCGCACAACCAATACGGCAGAGGCCTTGTTGGATTAATGAGCTTAGTTTGATCGTTTGACCCAGGCTCTTCTGTAATTTGGGACTTGCAAAGAGATTTCAAGAAGTGCTATAGAATTTTGTCGTAAGGGCTTCGATTTTTTGCCAATAAATTCATTGCTCCATGGGCAAAACTTGATCTACAATAGAAGAATCTCCATTAAAAGTTCGGCTCTGTCACAATGTATCAGTTATGAAAGATGGCATATTTTTTATTTAACAGGAGAAATGCACTTCTTACTACATACAAAATTTTAAAGGATACGATCTTAGTTCTATTTGCAATAATTGAGATCAGTTTGCTGACACTAATACACTAGTACCAGCAGAAAAACAATATTACACGGAACCCCAAGAGAATCAACAAGCTTGAATTTTTAGAGAGACCTTGAAAATCATTGTTTGCTAAAAATTTAAAAAAAAGAGAAGAAGTTACTCTTTGTCATGACTGGCTGTTGACCGTTACTTTAATTTCACTCATCACCATTAACACAATTCATTAAAACAGGATGTCTACAGACTTAACAGGAAAAACATTTCCTAACTTTTCCAGGTTTTCCCTGGCCAAAATAATCAAAATTCCCAGACTTTTTGCCGAAACAATTAGCCGGCAGGGAGCTGAAAATGAAGTGTATTTGGCATCAATTTCACTGCAAATGACAAAAACGAGTGAACTTTTTTCTTCAGGTATAAATCTTTCAATTGACTAAAATTGCAATTTTTAATTAAAAATTAAACCTTTATTCACTTTGCAGAGTGTCACTGAGGGAACTGAACTCCAAGCCAGGCTGAAAGATGCGGTTTGATTGTGTGGGCAGCGCTGACGTTTTCCCAGGTTTCTAGAATTAAGATATTTAAAAATTCCAGCCTTTTCCATCAAATTTTCTGACCTTTTTCTGATTTCCCTGACCTACTGAAATCCCTTGTTTTTTAGATTGTCTAGACCTGTAGACACCCTGTCGGCTCCACAAATGTGACACAGCTTGGATTACTAGTGTGCCTTGCTGCTTGCAAAATTTAACGCTCCAAAATGTCTATGTTAAAAATCTTAATGCATCTTTAACCCTCAGGTTGGAGCTAAACATTGCTATTGATAATACGTAGACAAAAATGTGGAACCAGGCAACAAGTGAGGAAATATGTGAACATGGGCTATCACAAAAAATAAGTTGCAAGGAAATGTCCAAATACGTAAAATTATTCTTTGAATTGTTCGTGAACCAAAGTAGTCTAGACCAAATCATAAATTGCTGTGATCCAGCGATCAATTTAGTGAATATTTGCCTGAGTAAAAATTTAATTTTAAATATTTTTCATCATCCGACTCCATAATTACCCAATGTAAGCCATTCTAATCTCATTTGACAAAGGACAAAATTTGCAAAAACTACGCAGCTGTAAGTTTTTATTTGTATTTGGATACCTCTCTGAAAACCTGTGGTGATCATATTTTGGGGGGGGGGGGAGCGGCTGCTTTCAAGGATGTCTGTCTCATACAATTCATCAAAACTGTGAATGACATAGAACTTTCCCTTGTTCTTATACAAATCCAAACTTGAAAGCAAAAGGAAGGATGGTAAGTCCTAACAATGATGAAGAAAAAGGATCGATGGAAACACATTCAAACACATCGGCAAAAAAATTGAAAATAAAAGGTTACCTCATAAACTAAGCGCTGAGAAATTTCTCCCACCTTTGGGATGCTAAATTTACAAAAAAAAATGTACAACAGGAATAAGTGTACTTAGAAATTGACACAGGAATAAGATGACTGGTTAATATTAATTTGAACTTATGGCACTAGTACCCTCTCTATAAAATTCTAAAGTCTTGCTATAAAATCGATTAGAACGCTACAAATTTTAGATTTGTAAGATATAAAATTTGGGTCCAACTTTTTCATACCTATAAAATGGGGACAATATGCTTAGCGGACACACTCTTGGTAGAATTTTATACAACTAATGCGAGTCACTCTTCTTATCGACCTGAATGAATGTTCCAAGAGCAAATAAAAGCTCCCGAGTCTAATTGAGACACTTCCATGAGATTAGTTCCAATCAAGACCTGAACCTCGAACTCCGTAAATAGGGTAGGCAATGAATTACATCAAGGCGAACATAAGTTATCCACTCTTGTTCATCAACACAACAAATCCTAAACAGGAAAATCCTTTTCACACGAGGACTGCTACCATTTATTTGTCATTACTTTGATCAACTTCCTCTTCCGTCATGGTAACTAACACTAGCTTAAGGAAAAATGTCTGAACGTAATCAAGTCCTCCTCACAGGGGTTCAAATTTTGCTGGACTTGCAGTATGAAAAGAAACGCTTCAACATAGCTCAAGCGCTTTCAAAATCCCTTGTCAGACTTTTTTAAAAGAATAAGGAGAGGTACCTTTAAGTTGCATCAAATTTTACAAGAAGTGCATTCTCATTAACTAATTGTCTCCTCATTTTAAAAGTTTCAGGCGTGATTTTAAAGGAATTTGAGTCTTGGACAGTACCGGACATAACTTAATAATTTTCTGAGAGATTTTGACAAAATCTAAAACAAATATTCTGAGTGAAGAAAGTTGCTGCCAAATTCACATCAAGGTTGGAATTTATATTTAGTGTTAATTGACTTCATCAAAGAAAGTGCAATTAAAGAAATATTTCAGCTATGTAGCTACTGACAATAATTACAAAGATAGTAGTCATCACCTGAAAATAGCGAGAGTAGGCTTCATAAGTTTCTAGAAAAGAGGTCGGCTAAAGCATTGGAGTATCCGAGGGATTTCACTTACTTCTTTTGTCACATCACCTATCAACAGAATTAAAAGTTTCAATTAACATGAGATAATGAGGTTCACAAATTGAATTCAATCAATTAAATTCAAAATTTTTTGGACTGACACATGAAGTTTCAAAATGATGCAAAGTAATTCAAAACAAATGAAATTTACGAGGGTTTAAGGAGGTATGTAAATGGATGAATAATTACATTAAACCCTGCAAGATGTGAGCCTAAACGGGAGCAAAGGCTGCGTTGATTGCCTCGAAAGTACCAACAGTAAAACACTGACGACAAGCACAATAAACCGTTTTACCGCCTGCCCCTTTAAAAATGAGTACAAACCCTGAAAACAGATTAACAAGTAAATTACTTTTCACTTTCTTCGACCTGGCCCTTTAAAACAAAGTAACATATTTTAAAGGTGGAAAGAAAGGCGGAAAAAATAAAAGGATCAGTTCCTACCACATACAAAGTCTTGGGCAATAATTTTAGATTTGTTTTACCAACATGAAAAACCAATTTAATTACACAAAACAATTCTCTACCAATGTCCTTTGACTCAAACTGACATTAAAAATTACGGTTGCCACAGAATTCAGAGAATGAAATTCCTCAACATTACCCTGACACATGTTGGTAAAATTTCCTGAACATTAAGGGTATGCCAGGTGGTACAAAATTTGTCGTTCAAAACGTAGGGAGGTTGTGTATACTTTGGACCAACCAATGTACATTTTTGACAAAAAACTGAATAACCCTACAAAACTCCAATAAAGTTCTCGCCGACTTTTTGTGGATCCATTAATGAGTAGGCAAGGTGGATCAGTCCAAATCAAAAGAACAAGTCCTCGTCATTCATGATGAGTTATTTTAAAAGTTACAGATTGCATTTTGCATTTCTTTCTACCACTTAAAACCAAGGTCATCACATAAGAGCTTGGACAGAGACCAAATATGCCTAAAAGGAAGGCAGATGGAAGACATCAAAAAATTCTTTGAATTTAATTAAAACTGCCCAAGAAAAGGTTAAACTTAAAATGGAGGAGAGAGGAAAATACCCCCTCCTAATTAATGTCCTTGCCTTAAATTATTTTCAAAAAGCTCTAGGTACGGACATAGATAATCCTGTAGTATGATGAACTGATGGGAAGTCCATGAGCATGATTGAAAGCATTTGCAAAACGTTTGGTCTACACAATAGCTTCAAACCCCTCAATAAAACTTTGATGTATAAAGCAGCGTAATACCACATGAATGCTCATATGATTTTCTCTATACTTTTACCACATAAAAATAATTGACAATGAAAGAGACTCCAATTTGGAACGTTTAATTATAAACCAACTAACTTGACTGACTTGGCTAAAATAGCAATTTGACAATAAACATTGAGGTGTAACTTTGAATTTTTGCACTCTCTGAAGTAAGTTTCTTCATTAAATTAGAGAATTTTAGGTATCTTCTCTACCTTGCATACGTTGCAACAGCATTTTAAAAAGGCTAAGGGGATATTCCTTCCTGATTGTGGTTAGAGACTGCTTGGCCTTGATCAAAATCACCATTTCAATTGTTAAGTGAAACCATTTTAGTAAGAACTGAGAAAAATAAAATGAATTAAGGCTGGGTTAAGGCTGAATTACTCGAGTCAACTCAAAACCTCTGTTTAGTTTGGTCTTTTAAAATTTTCCAGGTTTAGCGAGTCCGCAAGGATAAACATTTTCCTCATAGAGTCTTTTCATTCTCAGCTTGGATTACATTACATATTATTATTATCTGTCAAGGTCATGCCGATTGGATTTAAAATTGGCAAAAAAGGGTAAGTACGCAAGCATATATTTGCTTGCAAAAAAAAGGAAAAGAAAAAGAAAAAAATCCTAACTTAGTACTCCTCATCTACACATTGGTAATCAGTTGCGGTGGTTATGCTAAGTGTGTTCTAATTATTAGTCAGCTAAGTCACACTAGCATGTTTGGTCGTAGGTCTAACTGAGCCATAGATTGAAGATTGTTACCAGTGGAAACAACTGACATGTTGATATAAAACCAAAGAGTTTTTAGTTTAATGATAGATATGTTTTAAAAACGAGTTGTAACACGTTCCAGAAAAATTTATAAGCACTTAAGTTACCCATTTGCGACCAATGAGCGAGCAGTTTGTGTGATCCTTTTTCATTGCTACTTAGAGGTCAACTAAAACTTTGGAAACATTTTGGATAGAGGAAATCCCATCACAAAATAGGGGTGTATTCTTCTTGATTTATTGAGAGAATATTGATGCTGTCCAATCATCTAACAGGGGGAATGAACTGACATTATAACATAAATGGTCAAAGAGAGTGTATCCTAAAATTGATATGATGGAGTAATAATGTGCTTGCACTAACCTCGATTCATACCAATTGCCGTACGCGAATTACTGATTCAAAGTTATCACAGACTGCAATGGAGCAGTTCCCACACTTGGAAACTCTAAAATACAGCTAGAATCTTAATATATTTTGAAAGCAACCAAATTTTGCTTGAAAAAGAGAGAAAGATAGACAGATGGAGTAACAGAGAAGAAACGAAAAAAAAAAATTATGAATGGACATAACGACTGATAGCGGCGCAGAGAAGTGGTATACTTCTGCATAGAATTTGCACTTTTTTGTAGGAGATAAATGATTTTTTAAGATGAATCAGATCTAATGGTATACATTAGATTTTAGAAACGACACCTACAAAAATTAATGCAATCAGAAACAATATTCCCATCTGCAATTGATTGCTTCCACTCTTAAATTTTTTTCCCCACCACAAAAAATGTATTCTTCTTCTCTTTACTTGCCAAAAGCAGTTCTTTTTTTGACAAACGATAAATCCTAATAACGGAAAATTCGTTCCTCTTTATTTTTCAAATATATGTACCTTCCCATCACAATGAAGAGATTTTGTTGAAATTCAAGGGGATGAAAACAGATGCAGGATTGAGTCATTTGAAGACATCTTGCGAGCCACACCGACTTGCTTCACATATGACAAAAGTCGATCTGATCTTGTCAGCGGGTAGTTTTATTTTAGTTCATTTGGGCTTACCTCGAGAAAACTCATGTTGCCTGATATGATGGTTCACCACACAGCAAAGTTGGATGATTCTCTTTCAAATATATACTGAGAGAGCCTTCGTAAAAAATTGAGGAGACTCTTTACATAAATCAAAATATCAATGAACAGTAACTGCTGCCAATCTAAAGCAGGTCTGGTAATAGAAGAAAAAAAGGAAAGAAAAAAGGGGAAAAACCAAGGGCATGGGGCAGATATGAGACATTTTTTTTAAAAAATTAAAAAATCTGAGGGATGGCGTGTTGAGTCTTAGTTTGGTTACGGAAATTAGAATAAATCTCAAAATTTCTTCCATAACTTGAAATTGATTTATAAAAACAAAATTAAGTCTGAAAATTTTGCATTGATTCCATTTTTTCTTTTCTATCTACAAAAAATTAGGAATATACTATGAGAGTTAGATGCACCCTTTGCATCAAAAGGTTTTTTCTTGCTTCATAATATGAAGCCCTGCTGAAACCTTCAATACGTGAAAAAAAAAAAAAAAAATTGGGAGAATAATTTGTGAATTATCTGGCACTATGCATCCTCCTATTGCATGGGAGAATAACTTGGATACACACTCAGTCCTCTCAACTCATAGACTGATTTAGTGGCTACGTCATTCTCACAACATTCGATGTGTCAATGTACAATAATTGCAATATATCGCATGATTAATTTGCGATGGATCAAACTAAAACAAACATACCCTCATGTCCAAATTTGGCATGAATTAATGTGTAAATTTCTTGAAACGATATCATTAAGAAGTCATAAATCAACTAATGATTTATTACACACAAGAAATTTCAATTGCAAGGAACACCTGAGTGCATTTTACAACCATAGTGCAAATATGACAAGGTTATATGTCCGCTCACATTCGAACCATCAAACTGAGATAAAAATTGATGACTGAGCCACTAAATTGATCTTCACTAAATAAGTGCACATTGGTGAATATAGATCAAAATGCACCAGAGAGAAAATTATGATTAAATTAAATCAGACTGCAAACGCACAGACAAAGTGTCACTTAAAATAGTGACTGACAATGACGCGCGCTTACCTGAGTTAGGATCCTGTTGAAATAAGCGGGCTTGTTAGCATCAATCGCTAGGAAAGTCTTGCACTTAGAGTATTCAATGATGGGAGGCAGTAATGAAAACTATCAATTTGCAGTTTATAGACAGATCTCAAAGAAATCAGTGGTAAAATTTGAAAATCTCATGGGTTTTGTGGGCTTTTAATATCAAAAAACGAATTGTAACTATCTTCAGTCTAGCAGGGACTTGCCTGGGACAGGGGGTGATTTTTAGGACTGATTCTAGTGGAGACCGTCAGTGTTATCTTTGTAACTGTCTCGCAAGGTAAAGAATTTCTGCAGCTCTCTCATCAAAAATTTCAGAAACAAGGTTTGTTACTTAATTCTTTGAAAATCAAAATGCATTGCGTCTTCTAAGGTCTTTTAAAAGAGGACAGGTGAAAACTGTGGGACAGTTGGATAAGTCAGGTAGTGCACTCAACCTACAAAAATGGCGTTTAAAAATATGACTCGTTTTGAAAGTCACTTTGTTGCAAAATCAAGCTTACATATGCAATCAACTGACGATTGCACATGTCTTGGTGGGCAATAAATTTGTGAGGTACGGAGAAACGTGAATATGAATTTTTAAACCAGGCTCATAGCTGAGAGGGGATGGGATTGGTTTACTAAAAAATTATTGCAAGACTTTCCTTGAGCTACGTAGTAAGGCTAGAATAGACTTACCTGGAAACGCAGTAAACACTGACCATCACAGAAGTCACCTCGTCTACCTGCGGTCCCGGTCTCGATGCCTGTCACGATCACTTCTACTCGAACTGTGTCGATCATTGTGTCCATTCATTCCTGTGACATGAGGAATGAGGAAAATTAGAATTATGGCTTCAAGGTTGCACGAACTTTGCTTACGAACTGATTGACGTTTGACACCGAAGTTATTCAGACAGTGTTGGTGATTTTGCCAATATGCTTTCTAGACTGAAACTGAACGCTTGTTGGCAAAATCACTGCCACTCTGTCTACAGAATTTTCAAGTTTTTGCTTCAAAAATCTTTATCATTTTCACAAAAAGCCATATCTGAGCAGCAATTTCACTTCCTGATACAAATAAAAATTTTGATCTTCTTAAAATGGAGATCTTATTACATTGGTCAAAATCATTATGCAACTATTTTGGCAGGCTTCTTGATGACCAGTGTTTCTTCCTCACCCTACGTTCATCAAAGTGTAAACAACTTGTAAAAGCTGAGTCAAAGCGCTGATATTGAGGTTATCATAATTCAATACAGCAAAGACAGTCACAGTAACAATTCGAGTCCGATTAAACACAAATGGATTATGGTTTTTTATAAAGGGAAGTTTGAATCTAAACATCGATAAAAATTGATATCTTTGTCAGGAGTTTTTTTCAATTATTTCTGTTGGAAAAAATGTGTTTTGATGAGAAAAAATAAATCATAATGCTAAAATTCCCACCTTGTCTAGTGTTCAATTAGATTGATTTAAAATATGAAACCTCACCTCTACTACCTCGATCTCTGTGGCGGTCCTTGTCTCGACCACGATCCAAGGGACTTCTGCTCCTATGACGCCCACTGAAAAGAACGAATAAAAATTAATGCTACAAAGTTATGGAAGAAGAAACTGTAATTAAACAAAGATATCTAAGGAATCTAGATGAATTCTGGAATTATTTTTCTAAGGACTTAGAGAGCTGATGATTTTCTTCTAATAATTTATTCATTTATTTTTCATTTTTAGGGGACGTCCCATAAAGAGATGGCGGCAAGGCATCGACGACGAGATGTTACTGTGTCAGTTGCGCGATAACCTTTGGGAAGATAGGCACATATGGCTTTTGAGTGTTGCAGAAAGCCAAAGTGCTTGGTAGGAGCGAATTTAAGTACGTTATTTTTTTTCTGCGGTTGACTTAAGTACTGTCTTTTCTTCCGAAAGTTCCTTTCCACCCAAAAGAAACTAGACTTTTGAGCTTCCAAACTCTGAGAGACAAGAGATGATCTTTTAAAAAAGAATACCGATGGACGTCGCCTTTCAAAAAAGAAGTCCATCTGCTTTCACTTTTATTAGCTTTATGATTGAAAGATCTTTCCACGTATGTACAGTGAAACCTCGCTAAGTCGGTTTTCATCGGGACCGAGGAAATTTACCGAGTTAAGCGGGTTACCGACTTACGCGGACTGCCACTTTTCCTGCCGCGCTTTTTCAAATTTCGCGCCCTAAATTGGACAAACGCAAACATGCGTGTAGAGTGACTTGTAGGAGTGTTTAGGAGAGCCATTTGATCGAAGAAAATGGTACTAAAGAGTAAAATTTCATGAGATGCACTTGAAATTGCGTGTTGTAAGTGTCAGGGCATCATGAAGTCATCGGGTTAATCGTATGTTGGGGTGCCGCGGCACCCCATGGCGTATCACCCCCCGCGCACCCCACGCGGCATGCCGCGCGGTGATGCGCCGCGGCCACCCGCTATGGCGGGTCGTTGAACTGAAAATGCAACGTATCAATACTCGCTAAAATCTCCGAAAAACTCTGCGGAAGATTCCTGGGGGGAGCGGGGAAGGGCAATGCAAGATGGTAGGGGGAGAGGGGCCGGTGCCGACTTGACCTGTCAACTCATCGATGCGTGAAATTGCTTAATTATGCATGCGTGTTTTCACACGCGCGATAAGATAACACGCGGTATCAGATATCCTATTCTCTACTGTTCTCATCTTTCGTGTCGTTATCGAGTGTTTTTGATTCCTTATCTCTCTATTTCCGATGTCGTTTCTCGCACTGCGCTGCGCTTTCTCGGAGATTCGCTCACCCTTCGTGGCGTAACTTGACCCGACCCGCACCGCGCACGGAAACACTACCTACGCTTGATCACGGGTGACGATCGAAGAAAAACAGGTCGAGATGGAAAAATTTCACCGAGTTAAGCAGGTTCAGAATCTGACCAAACCGAGATACCGAGACTTATTTAGCATTGTGTTATATGGGTGATAAACGGGACCGGGCGATTCTACCGACTAAAGCGGGTTACCGGCTTATCCGGAAACCGACTTAGCGAGGTTTCACTGTAGTTGTTTTAACCTTCTTACTGGATCACCTGACATTTTTCCAGATGTGAGTTAAGAATAACATCACAAAATTTGTCAAGAGTACAATTAACCTCCTTTAAATTACAACTCTACACAGAAAGTAAAAAATTGGAAAAAAAAAAATTATGAATAAAACACAAGTTTCAGCAGCATAAATTAGAATTAAACGCCAAGCAGATCAAATAGGAGACATGTGTCTCACTGGAAAATCACTGTTCTGCTACTTCTGCTTTTCACAGCGGTGATTTCATTTACAGCGAAAGCAGAATTTAATTAGATGAACTGATCAAGAAAAAAAAGAGAATGCTACTCACTGAGAACTTCGAGAGCTGTGGCGACCATCATGGTCACGGTCTCGGTGGCGTGATTTAACGTCTTTCTCTCTGTCTTTCTCTCTTTCTCGGTCCCTTATACTTCTCCCGTTAGGGCTGAAAGCAAAATACAGCAGAGTTAGTTTCCAAAAAAAGGAAGAAGTAAAAAAACAACTAGAACGGAGACTTCCTTATTGACATCATGATTTTGGCCTATAGATAAAGGAAAATGATTAAAACCGCGAACGTCCAAGCATTAACTTTTGATCAAGCATGATCACAATGAATACTAATAGGTTTCCCTGAAAAATTAGGATTTTTAGGAGAAATAATGACGTTCACAGAGAGCCTATGGGCAGGATTCCGAATTGACAAATTCGGAATGACTTGGAAGCTTGAAGAGTTTACTTTTTTTCTTTTTTTGGGGTAAAATATCCACTAATACTCCCAATTTTGAGGCACCTACTTGAACATTTATTGGCATTTGTTCTGTTTTTGATACACTTCTTAGTTTTCATAATGGAAAAACTTGTAAGCTTTCCCTAAAGGTTCCACAGAAAGTCTAAGGGAAAAACATCTGTACCACGGTCGGTGAAATCATATTGTCCGTCTTATTTCTTTATTCAGGGACTACTGTAAATAAATAAATATAGCAGCCTATAAAATGAAATATCGACAGTGAAACTATCAGCCCACATATCTCGTTGCGGTGTTTAATAAATACCACTCCCATTTTATTTTCTTGAGGGAGAACAAATAAATATAATTTCTCAAAGTTTTCAGAAAGTTTTCTTCCCTCCGAGAAGAAAAATCATGGAGGTTTTCAAGAATTGACGTTGAGTAGTTTTGCGTGTAAAAAATAAAGCAAGGCAGGAAGTCTGCAACGACGCAAATCAAGATTCTTGGTCTGGTAGTTCCACCATGGATATGTGGTTCAATTGGAATTATTGCTATCTCTCTGAGAACCTGCTTTCAAGTGAAGTTATAATTTCAGATCATGACTTCATACTTATCACATTTGGCTTGTTCATTTTTAATATTTCTAATTGCCTATACTTAGAGAAATTAAGCTGCTGGTGCCTAGAGTCTACCTATTTTGAACCTTGCAAGATTATAAATAAGTCAGACTTTAGCAAGGGATTTCGTTAAATTTTAAAGATCATTTGCAGCTGATGGGAAATGTTGAGTGATTTGACTGTCCTGAAATCACACAAGTTTAATTTCAAATGATATGATTACCTGGAATTTTTTCTTGCGGTCGGATCCCTATGATGGCTCCTCCTTTCCTCTTTTTCACTAATTTTTCGTTTTTCTTCTGTCCATCGATCCCGACTATTACGATGCTTCTCTCTTTCTTCATTTCTACGTTTTTCTTTTTCCTCCCGAGCTTTTTCTCTTTTAACCTGCAAAAACAGAGAAAAATTTATTAAAGCCTTTAGAAGTATATACTACAAATTGTCAAAATCAAATTGAATAATGATTGTTCTAAATTATTCAACCACTTGAAAATTCAAATTTTGAGAAAATATGTTGATACCCGCAACCAGTTTGAGGGAATTGATTTAGTGCCCTTGAATAAATTAGAATGTTTAACCACAGATAAAGTGTGATGATGTTAACATCAGAAGGCGGGTGCAAGTAATTTCAAGTCTTTCCCCGTTTTAAATGGAAATCCAAGGTGGGTTATCCCCTCTGAAGACTGAAAAAAATCCTTTTTTCCCCTGTAATCAACAATTTAGTCTTGATTTCCTGAAGTGAAATTGGAGCTGTTTCATATATTTGAGGGCATTAAACATCCAAAGTAATATAACATAATAAACAATGCTTACATTAAGCTCCTCAACAGCTCCTTTTAATCTTGCGTAACCAACATGCTGTTTTCCCATTAGATGGTCATCAATACGTGACTGGGCATCACCAACAATAAGGAACGCTCCACAAACTTCACAAACCTCCATTTGTTTTTCTTGAGCTGCTGCAAGCTCCGCCGTCTGCAAGCATCAAAAGTTTAAAGATTCGCATGCAACTTAAACAAAGAAAATTCAAATATGATACTCAAATAAAATAGTAAATGGTACCGAAGACCTTACATCAGAGTTTTTACTGGTACATCAGCATCTAAAATTATTTTTCTATCAGTACCTTTTCCTTAATTTCGCCAACATTTTTGTTTTTAGAGGTCTTCTAAGATTTTTGTTTGCAACTGTTACATGTTGTAGTTTCTCAAAGAGTGTCGATTTTCTCAATGGTTGGCGCAGATTAAAAAAACGGCTACTGACCAGTATACTCATTTAGATATGTATTGTTAAAAGCACATGGAAATGCCCAACAATTAATTTTTATTACCTGAGGTTCTGTATTTTGATGATCGATTTTGCTTAAATCGCATTTTCAAGTAATTAAGCAGGTCTTCTTCATGAGAGAGTAGAGCTGGTCAAAATTTAGAAAATCTGGGAAAATCACATCAACTGTATGACATCTTACCTGACTCCAATGACTGTTGTCATTTTGTTTGCGCAAGGCTTCCCGTTCTTCCTCTAACTGATCCTTCAGTTTCATCAATCCTTGAGCTTGTTCAACATTACCTTCGATACCCATTTGTTCAGCTTCGTTGACTAAATTGTTGATTTTTTCAGACAGGAGATTGATTTGTTCCATGTTTTTTTGAGTCTGGGCTGGGGATAAAGATGACGGCTGCAGGCAAATATTAATAACGATTAATAACTAAAATAATATAAGTTTACCCAGCTATCGATTGATCCCTGCTGATAAATTCAGTCTCGGCTACTGCAGGCATAAAAATAATAAAGAAACTGGCAGTGTCTCGATTGTAGGTCTATTTTTATGTTGGAACCTTGGCAAGGTCGCCAGATTTTGCATTTAAATGTAGATATTATATAAGGGTTTTCATGGGGAGCAATGCTGATTTTTTCAGCACTACCTGAAAAAAAGTTACAAACCTTGTATAGAATCTTTCAAGCATAATGACTAAAAATGGACAGATTTTGGAGATAGAAAATAGATCTCAGAAATTAGATTCACTACATCAGGCGTGGTCTAATTTTCTCTGCTGATTCTTTTTTGTTTTAAACAGAAAACTGAGCAGCGCTAAAACTTAAAATTTTGTGAGTATTTTCTTTATAATGTGTATTTTTTTCACTGATTGTTTACGGCCTTACGAAATTAAGTTCTTCGTTAAAATAATAAAACATGTTAGAGAATGAGGAAATATGAAATACAGTTAGGCTGATTTTGGTTAAAGCAGTTGTGATGATCTTGACAAAATGTTTTACTTTCAGCAATACCTCACAAAGCTTTTTATGCAGAACTAAATAGAACAAGGGCTAGGATCCAATAATTGTTACCTTCCCATGTTGTGAGGCTCGAGTAAAGCTATTTGCTATGCCAGCAGAACACTACAAAGAAATATCGGGTATTTTATACAAATTGTCAGTCAATTGGCTTAAAGTTCCATTATGAAAAATGCACCATCCTCTCACATGATAAGACTTAATTAGAATACCGATGAGAACTTACAGACTCCTTGGCTTCCATTAGTGCAAGGCGTTGTTTGCCTTTGGCGATCTTTCGCTCAACTTCATTTAACATGCCTTGGGCGAAGCGCAGGAAGTCATCTTCATACTGCGTCTTCAGGTAACTTGTGGACTTGTCGAACTGTTCTTTAGCCAGATCATCATGCACTTTGGGACATGGTCCCAGATCTGCTCTCGTATTGACAAACAAATCATGAGGGCAAAATTTGACCAGGAAGTATTTGCAAAACTGTAAAAGAAAAAGAAGTCTGATTAAGAAATTCCTATGCTATTGTACTTATTGATTGTTCAACCCTCTATTTCATCTCCAATCGTAGAGTGATTTTTTTACCTGATCTGCAGAGAACCCCGTCTGCACACACACATGGCGACCAGAAATGGAAAGTCAAATTTCATAAAGCTCGAACAAATATCACAAAAGTTGAAATTTATTAATTTTTTTTCAATTATTTATTGAACCTTTTGAAGGTCTGAAAGCGTTTCAGATGGTCTTTCTGTTGATGCTGCGGTGTTACGCTACTCTACTGAAGGTGCCAGGCACAAAGAGGGGGCAAAAAGGGGAGTTCAGAGAGAAAACCCTAACCTAACTTCTAAACTAGAACGATAACATTTGCAACGCGCAAATGTTGTAGGCTTGGGGTAAAAAATTTCAAAATTTAGAATCACTGTTTCTAGGAGTTTCTTAGCCTCCTGAATATATCACAAGAAGTTTCAATATATTTCATGAAATTTCATTCGGATAAATTTCATGCAATTTTCCATCTCTGATGGCAACAGACCCACATCTCCACTGGGAAACGTGTGTAAGAGGAACAAAAACTTTACTCTTCAGCTTTGTATGTCTCAAAATTGGCACCAAGTTCACCTTTAAGTAAAAGCTTATTGTGGTCAGAAGGTCAGGAGGAGAATTCTATTAAACATGGAAATTTAGCCAGAGCTGAATTTCTCCGTATTGTGTGCTAAAGCAGTCTTTTTTTAGTGTTACATGCAAGAATCCGGTGTGCCTATTATCAGCTCATCAAAAGAGCCATATTGACAGTGAAACTCCCAAGCCTTAGATCTCGCTTTGCAGCCTACCTGTTATACTTTAATTTTTGAATGAAGAACTACTCAACGTAAATTCTGTAAATCCTCCTTGACTATTCTTCTTTGTGCAAATTTCAAGGAAAAGGTAATGTTGATTTCCTTTCCTTCAAAAAATAAAACAAGAGCGCAGATTTTGAGACACCGCAAACAAGGTATGTGATTTGGTAGTTTCACCCTCAATACCCGCTCTCTAGAGCTTGCCCATCGTATGTTGAGACAAACGTCAATCTCCGATTAGCTCTGAATTCGCACCACTCAACAGGTTAATACATGTAGTCAGGTGGCACCACTGATGAATGGTGACATAAACAATATTTTGACCTCTGTCTTGACACGCAATGCGCGAGCTCTACTTTAGATTAATCCTGCAACCCATTTAGTAATATTCTGTAATCCTGATATTTACGGTATTCAGACCAAAGGTGAATGTTTTTTTCGCCCCATTGGTATTGAAGAACTAAAAAATGTTTCTGAGCTATCTTGAAGGTTCGCCATAGTTGAAGATGTAACTTACAAGGGGTAAATCAATCAGATTTCGCTTAAAACAATTGCATATCGACATATGGTGGAACGCCCCCGTTCTCTTTGAGTGCTATTAAACCCCTGACTAAACCTCTATTGGTGTTGTTACCACGGTGCCATTGATCAAACAACCTCTGACAACCACGCCAATTGCAAATTTTGTAATTGAGCGGGGAAGGTAGTTGCAGCATGATAATTAGGACTTCAACTCACAAGATGTTCTGATAAAGCCCATTATAATGACAAGGAATCATAACAATGGGAGTAAGAAAGAGCATGATAAAACACTGAAGTCACTCTGGGAGACGTAGTTCATCTTTCCGGCAGGGATGTTTGTAAATAGGCAGTGATTGACCTACCCTAAGGCATGCTAGAAAAAGTTTCTTTCATGCCAAATAGTACATTGTGGTCTAAAAAAATCATTGTTACCTCAGGGTCCTCCCAGTGAAGCTCTTTAGATTTCTGATTTGGGCCTAAATTTCTATTTCTACCCATCAACTCATCCAGCAACTGGGCTGCAGCCAAAGACGCCATTGTGATGTAAATTCGTCGAACTCACTGGTCAAAAAGTGATAAGTTCTGCAAACTATTCACTGATGCGGACGAAGAATATGATGAAAATCCACACGGAAAAGGAAAGAAGAAAAGTTATACACAACAACACTGCAGTTCTTCGATCAATTTGACGAACCGTCGGAAAGTCGGCCATCACAAAAAATCTCGACTTTTCAATCCTTCAATCTCACTTCGATGCGACTTTGGCGACTTGCGACTGGCGAATCGAAGTTTGATCATCTGCGATTGCAGCGCTCCGGTGTCGTCTTTCGGAATTACAAGACTTACCATTCTCAGAGGAGCCGTTGTGTGGAAGTTGCCTATCAGAGTACATGAAGGAACTTTCTATGAATTCAGTGCCTGATTCGTGATTCAGTAAATGCTGCAAGCTGCAATTATTTGCAAGCCAAACCTGGTAGCATCATTGACGGGAATGCGCCGTTTCTTTTTTGGCTTGGGTACCTCTCAACTTTTTTTTCTCATTACCTATTAGAGTAGGTGGTATAGCTTTCTCTTCATTGAGAGGTGTTGGCTTTCCGAGACACTGCCTTGACACTTTTTTCAGTTCTCAATTGAAGGGCTTGAAGGACAACTTGCATGGGTGCAGTTTTTGAAAGAATTGAGATATTAATGATTTCAAGTAAAACTTAATCATAATGCATATTCTGTAGACTTCGCTCCCAAAGTTCACTGTTTCAGCATCAAAAAGTCAGTTTGAACTTTCTTTCTGCCATAAGACTCCATGTAATTTCGAAAGTTTAAACACGCATTTCTCGAAATAACAAAAACTGCACTTATGCGCCTTGTCCTCCAAGCCCCTCAATCAGTGGCGTAACGGGCGCCCCCGCAGACCCTGCTATGCAGGGGGGCCCAAGCGCCTAGGGGGCCCTCCGGGCCTTCGGCCGCCGAAATTTTGTTTTTCTCTGTCTCTTTGATGCTTAGCTTTGGTTTCAAACTTTGGGCCTTTACTTACCGAGATGGGGCTTCTTCCGCTGATTTTTGTTGTTAGCTCAGGGTTTTTCATACTTCTTTTGAACTGTTCCTACCTTTTTTTTGGCTGAAGGGCCCCTGCTTTCCAATGTCCACTCAGTGACTACTAAATTTTTTCTCTTTTTTGTCACTTTTCGTAGGTATTTCGGGCTTTGGGTGACCCATGAATCTAAAGGACCCACAAGGCCCTTGGAGGCCCTTCGATTCTTGGGCCTGCATGGGCCCTTTTGTAGATCCTTGGGCCTGGGCTGGGCCCCCGCCATCCCTGAGATCCTTGATCCTTGATCCTTTAGGGGCCCCATTTAATCGGGAACGGGACCCGGGACAGTGAGGGGAGAGGCATTCCAAGTCCAAGTCCGTGATTTGAAATTTCTCGGGCCAAAAAACGGGAAGGGGTGAGGGAAGTAGAGGGGCGGGAGGGGGGATGATTTTGGAATTTTATCGACATGGGGGGGGGGGCCTAGAAAAAATTTTGCAGGGGGGCCCAGCGGAAGTCCGTTACGCCACTGCCCTCAATTAAAGGTATGAAGTTGCATTCCAAACCGACAGCTTTGTGAGTAGGTACCCTATAAGGAGCATGGCAAATCAGAATTCAGAGATAGCTTTTCTCTAAACTATAGGTTTTGAAGAGGTAGGAATATTCAGAACTCAGATTGGGTTTGAAATTTTTTGGTTCTTTTGCATTACACAGAACTATGCGTAGAAAATTCCTCTATACAATTCATTTAGAGACTGTGAAAAGAGAGACTTACATGCTGGGATAGACGTGATTTGGACTGTAAGGTCCATTATTAGTGGCGCGGCTCCTCTACACTCTGATATCAATTGATACTTGAGTTGAAAATAGAGGTATTAATGTCTCAATTTTTTTAAAAAATTTTTAATGTTTTTTTTTTTTTTTTTTTTTTTTTTTTTTTTTTTTTTTAAGTTGTCAAAGTATAACATTTTGTGTGTAGCACTTTGTTTTGTAGGGTAGCCAGTGCAGTGCTATAACAGTAATTGAGTAAAAAACGTTGAAATTGGCTTATTTCTTAAATGAGTCAAAGCTTTCTGGGTAGGCATCATCAACAGGACTTGACAGAAAAATTATATACATATGATTAAAATTTGATTTAAGGAACTAAAGTTATGGTGAACTATACCATTACGACCATTACTACTCTTCATTTGCTTAAAAAATTATGGTAAAGAAAGATTTATGAGAGATAATTAAAAATGTATTCCTTCTATTCAGTTGGTGCTAATCAAATCTGCAGCGATTCAATTATACCATCCACTCAATTTTCAGCGGAACTAAGAGCATTCCAATGTCGCTAACCTTGCAAACATAAACGATCATCTAAACTAGTTTCACCTCTACTCCCAATAAACTATGAATTCAAGACTAAAATTACCGTCGTAAAGTTTACTTTTTGCTAAGAATGTACCTAAGTTGCACAATCCCAGCAACATTGAAATGCTCTTAGTTCCTTTTCGCAAAATGCGATCCAATTGGTTGTTGCTGCAAAAAAATAGTTTCCCACAACCTGCAATACAATGCTCCAGTGACCATGTAAGTTGGCCCGAGCACTAAATTTTCGGGAAGAAAGCCTTCCCCCTACCTGGTTTCTCACTTAATATCCGCCAGAGTTTCGCGTATCTTCCGTTACTCCTCATCGCAGCTTCCATCAAACCGCAATTGCCCGGAAACTAGGACCGCACATCTTATGTGATAAAATCGTTCGCCCTTTAGACCGATTCTGGGGGGTTAGGCTAGACTAGTCGATGAGTCAACTGTTGATCTAATTTAAGTACTTGAACGTAGAAGAAAAACAGGGTAAAAAACCTTTAATGTGTGATCAATTTTCAAGGACTATTCTGTGAATTCTCTTACGATTTTAACTAGATTAAAACGCGTAATATCCAAAATGTAAGCTATGATTCGGATTCCTCGTGAAAAATTGATGAGATTATGTGCATCATATGTTAGAATAGCGTGAAGGAAAGAGGTTTAATGACGTAAAAAAACACTATAATGTGTGATCAATTTTCAAGGACAATTCTGTAAATTCCCTTACGATTTTAACTAGATTACAACGCATAATATCCAAAATCTAAGCTCAGATTCGGATTTCTCGTGAAAAATTGATGAGATTTCATGTATCATATGTTAAAAAAAATAGCGTGAAGGGAAAAGGTTTAACGACGCGTATAGATTCTGTCTTTGAACTATAGGTACGCCGCCGCGCCGCGCCGCACAGTGGGAAAAACAGCCGATCTAGCGCCGAAAAAGTCGGAAAATCGACATCAATGAAAATGGCCAAAATTGGTATGTATGTGTTCCTGAGGATCTACTGATCAAGAATCAGTCATGTTTTACTTCATACGGTCGATTTTATCAATAATAATCATTAGAAACGCACCGGATAGCGCAGTGCTGGTGGAGGACCGCCTCTGAGAGTGTACGTTCAGTAGCCTCGTGTGTATGTTGAAGTGCGTCATGTAGTTACTTTTGATTTTTTTTTACAATAACTGACCGTTCTAAAAGTAAGGATACCATTTTCGTCTCTTATATACACTGTTTTGATCTACAGCAATTTTTTAAAGTTAGCCTCCGAAGAAGTCACAAATTCAAACTTCTAAAGACTGCATCTTCCAAGATTCACACAGATTCACGGAGATACTTACATCTACGTACTCGTCATACTATCAAGATTACAAAAATCCTTGGTTGAAACCAGCCTTCGTGAGCCTTTTAGAGAAATTCGATGAAATCTAAGTCTGGACATGTGCTCAGAATGAATGTGAACCGTTGGGTT